ATTAGGCAATTTCCAGAGCGATTAACTGTATTCAGCAAGGGTTCAACAGACCAATAGTCATTTTTATCAATTGATAACTGATTTGAAGCTGGTGCTTCTATGAAGCTTTGGTAAAAATAATACATCAATCCCCTCAAGATGATTCCTTTGCTAAGTCCTCTTGGCGTTACTGTCACTGCTGAGGTATGCTTAACATTTCCTCCTAATGTAAACACAGCTCTCTCCTCACCATTATAATCTCTCACATGAAGCCTGTAGCTGCACTCTGAAGCATCTGCTTTGGTAACATTGTGCTAAAATATTATGGGACACAAATCATTACCAGCTCATGGGTGGAGCCCTGCTGAACCCTATTGTGACATGTCCTAAAGTTATGTCCTGACCAAAAAAATAGGTATCAAAAAGCATTTCTATTTAAAATTAAATATCAATTCAAAAATATTTATTACATTTTCAGTCATATTATTTGAATATTAGATACAGAGTAAAACAAAAACTTGAAAAGTCTTTGAAGATTGTATTTTAGCCCTCAATCTATCATTAACTATCAATAACTTCAGCTTTACTAGCAACTAATTAGATAAATGTTTGACTTCATTTAGATCAAAAATCCTACTTGAACACTGTAGGGTCTAACACCGTGTCCAGCATCATCTTGATTTTTAAATTATTAAAACTATGTATTAAAAGTGAATTAGTGAAGTGAATTAATTCCTCTTAAAACAGCTCTAGCTAACACAAATACAAACAATGCTAAAACCAAATCAATTTTCAGTAGTTTCCACTAATGCTTTGACAGTACTCTTTCATTTGGCTCACATTAGCAGCTTTCTCAGTCACTCTATTATTATATTTTATTAGTACCATTTAATGGCCTTTGAAACTGACTCCCAGGAACATTTAACACACTGTTTAATCTCAACTGATTAGTTTTCCAGACTCATCTAGCTTGTTTTGGCATGCACGAGTCACAATTTTTAGTTATCTTTCTTTTAATCCAGGACTATGATACTCTGATGCTTATAATGCTACTTGTGAGCCTCAGGAGAGACGTTTTAATGGAGAAACCACCAATGTTTCTTGTCTCAAGCTGTTGAATAGTCCACATTAAAGAATGATGGTACCTTTACTACAAAGTAAATAAGCAGCATTGAACTTATTCAGTGTGCAATATTGAATACTGCTGAACTGTGAGTTGAATATTTTATATTTTTATTAATATTGTATTTGCCCCTCATTTTCTAATGCCTCCCTGGGCAAATGCCAAAAACTGCAATTGTTCCCTAGGCAAGACACTGAACGTCTGGTTGTCTGCTGCTAATGTGTGCATTAGTGGATGTATAAACTGTACTTGATAAGATCTACTTAAAGCTGCAATAGGTAATTTTTATGAAAATATGTTTTTTTTACATATTTATTTAAACTGTCACTATGTTACAGTATGAGAAATATAATCTGTGAAAAAAACTTTTTAGCTCCTCTGCCCACTCCCACTGGTCCCACAAATTAATTTATTTGACTTCATCAATTTTAAAAAATTGCAAAATGTAAATTCTTACCATTACAATCTGCCATTTTTTATTTAATGAGATTTTTTTAGAATGTATCACATTATCAGTGCTAAGTTGAAACAGTTTTGTCTGATGTTCGCAAATGTTCTTTGCTGCAAACTGAAATAATGTTCAGTTTAAAGCCTTGAATATGTAGAATATGTAATATCGTTTGATTTTTTTATTTGAAAAGTAACTCATATTTTCTTGTCTAATGTTACGTTATTTTCTTGTCCTGCAAGAAACATACACTCACCAACTCAAATGCAGAGATGGTGAAATGCAGAAAAAAATTCTTCAGCGCTGCATTGTATTATCTAGTTGTTGTGATTCCCACTGTTTTAGATGTCACATTACTTGTGTGAAGGAGGGTTTGTGGGGGCAGCTTTTTGTAGTCATGTTGTTATGCTACGATTTTAATGTGATACTTTTCAATAATGAGTTGTCATCCTTACATAACAACATAAAAGAAGCTTGAACTTATGGTAATTTGCTGCAAAAAGTGCAGTTTCATAAATATATGTTTGCCTCTGGTAATATTTTGATTTGATTCACTACGCACACGCACGTGAGATTATGCCAGAGATGCAGAATCAAGAAATCAGCCTAATTGAACCTGACTGACACTATCAAGTAGGCTAGATGTCTAAAAGCAACACATAATGCCATGAAATAAAGAATTACGTGAAGAATAAGAAAATGCAAAGCTAATTCTAAATAGTAGGGAGTCTAGCAAAGCATAGAATTAACTGAAACGTGACAGTCGTAAACCTGAGATCACAGAAGAATCTAGAAGAACCACTGCAGGCCTCATTTGCCTCAGATTTCCAAATTCAAATTTACTGCTAACCAAGCAGAAGACAAAGTCCGGTCTCACATTTGGACTTTTTGGAAGTTACTCATCCTGTTAAATCAGGAGAGCAGCTGACACAGCATCCCAGAGAAAGAACATTACACTTTGGAATAGTGATGGAAAATGTCCAGCCAATAGGTCAAGTGCTGTACATCAGTGATCCAAAGTCCACCAGTAATTCAACATCTTGGCACAAAGTAAAACTTTTGTACAGTAAAGTATTACAGTGGTGTAGTCAAAGTATGGACTTCAAACCTGTTCAACTGCTGTGACATAATCTCAAACAGGATGTTGTACTTGAGAACCACCTCATTTGGCTGGAATTGAACCATTCTGCAACCTTTGAATTTGACGAAAGTATTCTGGCATTAAGTTAACTCAAATTATTCTGTAATTAACTGATCTAAAGGAGGAAAGGTTTCCTCTAATTTATTTCAAGACTGTAGAAAAACAGACTATATGTGTTTTTAATGTGATGCATGTAAATATGTGGTTTCAACTGTAAATGAAGCATCCAACATTCAGATGTCAGAGTTTCTCATTTTCTAATCCTCTCCGCTGTGTTTTACATTCTTTCACTCTCTCCTCGTCTTCCTCATTTGTCTTTCACTTCCCTTTAATTGTTTTCCTCCCTGAATTATGCATCAAGCTGAAGTCAAACATGACTGATGAGAAAGACCACTGAGGCAGTGAGGTTTGGATGGGTGGAGAAGCTTTAGGATACTGCGGCCTTTTTAGTCATGAGGGAACAAATGGTGTGTGAAATAGTTAGAGGAATTCAGAGAGAAAAAGAAGGATGGATGACAGAATATGTGAAGGGGGAAAACAGGGAGTCCCCACCCTCTCCCCCTCTCTTAAAGTCATCTAACTCCCCTTCTCTTGGCTGGCCTTATTTGGTCATGTTACTGCGACTCCAAATGAAGTTCAGAGACATAGAACTGGGGGGAAGGATGGACAGATTGTTCTTTTCCTCCTTTTCTTCGCCCTCTCGGTAAAGAAGGAGCAGAGATCTGATAGGAGATAAAAATGAGAGGAAAGCCAGAACTCAGAGGGAGGAAACAAACCCAGCTCTGCAGGAGAAAGTAGTTCATCTGTTCCTGCTAAACAAAACCTAACTTGAATCCACTGTTAAAGTCTCCCTCAGTGTTGGCGAGCTGCAGAAGAGGAACTCTCCTGGGACAGAAGAGGAACTTCTCTTCTGCCTTTTATTTGCTGTCCACATGCAAATACAAGGCCTGGTTTCCCTTTTGGCGGGGACCTGCGCAGCATATGAAAATTAACTCCACAATTTGGGGCTATTGATAACGGCAGCATCTCCTCGTTGCCCGTGGTTACTCACGCCGGCTGACCACGCCTCCTTAACGTGCTCTTCCGTAATGCAAACAGAAGCGCTAATGTTTTTTGTGGTGTTATCGTCGCCGTTTAAGTGTAGGCTGTGACCACATTTTGAGGAGGTGGTGTAGGTTGATCACACACACAGATGCAGGCCGTCTCTGCACCCGCTGCTTCTCCCCAGAGCAGAGAAAGGCCTTTGATCTCCATTCAGGAGAATTATTAATATGTGTTTGAAGTGCAGGTACACACATGACCTCCTCAGTGTGCACAAAGAACAAAGATAGTTCATTAGTTTAATTTCTGACTTATAATGTTGATGTTTTATGCTATGTTGTTTTGGGAACGCCTTTAAAGTTTGCATATATTCAAACTCCCTTCAAATTTATAGCCATCTCTGAAGATTTGTGAAAAGCTTTTAAAAAGATTGCAATTTCAATTTTATACATAGTCTCACACTGACATATTTTTTAAATACAGCTTTTACGTTTCACATTTTGTTCAGTTTAACAATATGCCATAATCTAATGGAAGCCTTTTTAGTAGGACACCTTCACTTTATGTCTTTTAGTGTCAAAGAATGGTTAATGACTAATGAATGCTCTTCGGTTTTCTTTTGGGTATTGGTTATATGCTGCGCCCTGCCTTTTTCCTATAGGCTGTTGGGAACATGAACCAGCCTCCACTGCAAGGATTAAGCTACACTAGAGCATAGTTAACTGGATGTACACCTATTTCTCCTATGAAACCATTCTTCCACCTGAGCTGTCGATCTCTGCAGCACCTCCAGTGTTAACATGGTAATCTTTGGTATAAATGGCTCCCTTTCCTGGCCTGTCACTTCGACCCAACCTTGCTTTAAACTCCTCCTGAACTTTCTCCCTGACCCGTCAGCTGTACTCCTTCATGATGCTGTTCATTCGCTATCAAATCTCTGAAGCCTTCACAGAACAGCTGGATTTCCACTGAGGCTTAATTGCACGCATAACAACATGACTGTAATAAATAAGGCTGGACCTAAGTCTGCTTTGCCACCACAGAGTGTAAAGCAGTGAAATGAGGATTTTAAATGAGGTTTGAATACATCTCCAATGATCGCTATTCTTCCACTGTGAAACGATGATGCTACAATAATTGTTTTTGCTCATCTTTACCAGGGTTGCTGGTTATTGTGAAGAAGAGGCTATGTGGGTTTTCTTGTCCTGTTTTTTATTTGATGTTAATGAAGCAGAACTGATAGCTTTGTGCCTTTTTTTTCTGTGCAGACTGTCTGTTTAAACTTTGCCCCATGAACCGCTACTCAGCCCAGAAGCAGTTCTGGAAAGCAGCGAAGCCAGGGGGGAACACAGATACAGTGCTGCTCAACAAGCTCCATGTAAGCTATGAAAACAACACAGTTATCTCACAGCTACCACAACACGCAGCTCTGTCCCCATGGCAATAAACATATCCAGGCAGATTTTAATAGGTCTTGAATATAAATTTCTTCACAGGTTGGGATCTCGGTGAAACATTTTTTTTGATTGTTTATGAGCTGAATTTACAAAACTCTCAGTTATAGGACTTTGAAGCATCAATTATTATGTGGTAGAATCCTTGTAAGTCCTTTTATAGACATTTTAAGAACCACTGTCTTACCTATCTGCCCAAGAGGCTCTCTGTTTTTTCTCTCCTCTGAAGTCTAATACCATTTAAAGCAAATCTTTTTGACCAAACAGTCATAAAATGGAAGCTGGCAATCTTCCCTGTGGATAGGTGAGGCCAGGATTCACTTAAATTGTTTCTGCTGAAATTTTAGTTTTGGCTTTTCTTCCAGGACTTTTTGTTTGCAACAAATACATCTGCTTCTTAGAGCACTCCTGCAGGACAGGATGTAATGAGCTATGAAAATGCTGGTGAAATTAATTTGTCTTCCTCTCTCTTTGAACCCCAGCATGCAGCTGACTTGGAGAAGAAGCAAAATGACTCTGAAAACAAAAAACTCCTAGGAACTGTGATACAGTATGGACACGTCATTCAGGTTTGTTTCCGTCTGTTTTGTGGTTGTGAGACCTTTTTGACATTTATTCCAAAATGCCTTACGCCTAAATCCAAATTATCCCTGAGCTTGAATGACTCTGAGCACAATGAGTGATCTGAAATTAAAATTAAATCCTGAGCTAATACGGTAAAAACACACTAGTTTAATATCTTCAAATGCCCCATTCAGGCAATTCCTAAAGCTGTATACATTTGAGCCCGTATATATATAATTTAAACCCTTAGTCTGCAATAAATTTTAAGTGATGCATGCAGTTTTTTTTATGAAGAAAAAATCAGTTCAGATGAATCATTACAAGCCCCAAAATAATGCCAGTCATGTGATGAGTGTGTGCAAACTTTCACTGCTCTCTGTTCCTGCACAGCTGCTTCACCTGAAGAGCAACAAATACCTGACGGTGAACAAACGGCTGCCAGCGCTGCTGGAGAAAAACGCCATGAGGGTGATGTTGGATACTGCAGGAAATGAAGGCTCCTGGTTCTACATTCAGCCTTTCTACAAACTCCGCGCTATTGGGGACAGCGTGAGTACTTCAGGCTGCGGGACGAGTTCTGTGCTGGAGTGCTGTCCTCCATGTAAATAAACTCTCTGCAGTAAAACAAAAAAGTCTAATCAATACCAGAGATGCGATGCTTATTTTTCAATTGTCACATTTGACTCTTTGTTCTGCAGAATCACCTTCCACTGAAATCACAGCTGCAGTTCCGTTTTGGTATCTCATACCCGAGTTGCACGTGTCCTTTGAAAAATAGTTGATGTCGAATTGGATAGAGAAAATCTTTGATATCCATTTTTGAGAAATTTTCAACCAGATTGAGGTCTGCGCCATGATTAAACCAAATTAAGAGCTATTACATTAAAAACCCTTGAATACAGCTGTAAAGATGTTTCAAAAGTTATTTTGTATCTGTTTTGCATACCAAATAAATAAAATATAGGTTTATTAGCAAATAATTTACATAAAAAATATTAATATTGTTAATTATTCCGCAGTGGTCATTGTAGATAGTTGCAGCAGCCAGGTCCTGGTCAAGTTTGGTCTTCTCTAATAATCAATTTGATGCAAAGTGGCCATGCCATGAGTTTGGGGTAAAATTATTCTGTATGTATAAATTAAACGTAACATTGTTTGATAAAAAGCTTAACAAAGGTTGGTAAAGCTGTAGCTGTGTTGTACCTGTGGTCAGATTAAATACTAAATTGACTGAGAATCTAAATCTAAACTTTTTTAGACACACAATTTGTTCTTTAACTATAAAAATGTTATATTTTCCATAAATATTACGGCAAGAAGTTGATGTACATAGGACATTTTACCCATCTTGACTTCCAACCTTGTATTTTTTGACTGTTACATTCAGTGTAAATATAATTAATTCCTCAGTTTTCTGTATTTGAAAACAAAGCCGCTCTTTAGCCTGCTTTCCTTGCAGCTGTGTTCGTGTCAGATACTCAGTAAAGAAACTTTCTTTGTCAGGCTTACATTTGTTGCATGCGTTCTGTGTGACTGCAGGTAGTGATCGGGGATAAAGTGGTCCTGAACCCAGTCAACGCCGGTCAGCCGCTGCATGCTAGCACACATCAACTTGTGGATAACCCAGGATGCAATGAGGTTTGCTTTAGTTTACCTCTTCATCTGTCTGAACACATCCACCCTGGTTTCCAGTCTCTTCTCAGGACAGAAACAGCTCTGGTTAAAATCTCATGTGAGCCACACAGTGTGTCTCGGCTCTCATTTTGTTTTTTATTAATATTTTTCCTTCTTCTCACATTTTTGGCAACTAAGTCATCCCTTTTTCTTCTACAACACTGATTCCTTTGTGCCTTCTTTTGTCACTGATTGTGGTAAATTTAAAAACTACTTAGTGACATAACAGGGTTTTTTGGAAGGACTTTTCACATCCTATGGTTTGACACACAAACTGCTGTAAGATTTAAAATGGTATGATTTACTTTGTAGAGAACCCATACAATTGATTTTAAGTTGCTCTGATGTTAAAATTCAAATTTGAAGGCAGTTAAAGTGTTGCTTTCAAGTTGCCATTTGGAAATGGAAATTGTTTTCTTTATTTGGGTGATTGTACACATGATTGAGGAAAACAATTTATCCACTTAGATTGCTCCCATTTTACTTTTCCTGTCATCCAACAGATATACCACACACTTAAATACTTTACAAAGAATTTAGCAAATGTTTTTGAGTTGTTGTAGTTCTGTATTTGGAACCAAAGCTTCAGTCACATCGTCTCTCTTTATATTTCAGGTGAACTCTGTAAATTGCAGCACCAGCTGGAAGATTGTCCTGTTTATGAAAGGGAGCGACAACCAGGAGCGTGTCCTGAAAGGAGTGCGTTTCCCAGCGAATGCCAGATAACTCTTTCTCTGACGATTTATTTCAAACATTTTGGCAAAGAATCTTTTCTCATTGTTTAAAGATACAGTTATACAATAAGCTAATTGCAGTATTTAAAGTGAAAAGACAAGGAGAGATAATTAATTTTTCAACATTAAGCTTTTACTTTGTGTAAAAGCTTAAAGCAGTTTCAGTTAAATAATGTTGAAGGGTTTCTAAGGGTTTATTTTTCTTTAAAAATGTTGCATAATGTTGACAGTCTAAACTGAGTGGGTTGCTTTGTTTCTGACAAACAGTATCATCAGTCAGCAGTACATGCCTGCAAATGAGACTTTAAATCACTTTAAAAACTCAATGTTGCAGACTTTCTGTTATTACAAGTGGACTATTCAGTCTGCTGGTTAACCTTTCTAGAATATAGTACCGGCCCCAAAGTCCCAAAATTATTTAATAGCATTTGGTTACTTTCCCAAAACTGATTAAGTGAAAATCCTTTTCATTCACATTGATCAAATGTTTGCCATCAGAGATCACTAACAAGGTTTCCTATTTTAAAATGAGCCATTTTTAGCCGTAATTTGCTGTAATTTCTCCCTGCAGGGTGATGTTGTACGGTTGTTCCATGCAGAGCAGGAGAAGTTCCTCACATGTGACGATCACAGAAAAAAGCAATACGTTTTCCTTCGCACTACTGGGCGGCAGTCGGCTACCTCGGCCACCAGCAGCAAAGCCCTCTGGGAGATTGAGGTGAGCAGCAATCGATTCAAACCTGCTTTTGCTGGATGTGCTTTGAGCTAAAAATGATTTCCTTTGTTTCAGGTCGTGCAGCATGATCCATGTCGAAGTGGCGCTGGCTACTGGAACAGCCTGTTCAGGTTCAAACACCTGGCCACAGGACACTACTTGGCTGCAGAGGTCAGTCTGTCCATCTCCACGCCCTTCATGTTTGCTTGTGAACAATAGGAAGTCAACCACTCTTGAATTTGTGCAGGTAAACCCAGAGTATGAAGAGGAGGGCCTCGATTTCCGCTCTCCGGTGAGAAAGTCTTGCTGAAGGCCTGACTTTTCATCACTAGTGTAGAGTTGCCACTGAAATAAAAACACCGCTTTTTATTGGCTTGTCCATTAACACAAAAATAATTCGCTTCAAATCTCACACTGTTATATTTATGAACATGTCAAACCCATTTTAGATGTTCTAAAATTAACAGGGATATGGAAAATATGTTTTATACCTTGTTATTGACACAAGAAACAGTCTCTGGTTGTTCTGGTTGCAAAGTGAGTGTGTTATGCTTTGTTGTACAGCAGATGGCAGTGTTTGTCCATCAGTGTTCATCTCTTGCTAATGAATGATTGAATGGTTCACGTTATTGTTGTCATTATGAAGTTTCAAACATTTGCTGGCCATGGCAGAAGATTATGAATCAACTGTTTGGCTGCAGTTCACTTTTTCTTTGTTTAAAAAATGCAAAAAAAGAAGAAAAGTAAAATTTCATCCATACAGCTATACATTCATCCATCATTTCAGGATTGCAGCGTTGTAAAGACAAATCTCAGCTTATATAAGTGTTTACAACCCTGATTGCGCTCTTTATGAATTTTTGTGCTTTTAATTTTTAATCCATTATGCATGGATTCTAGTATTTACTTCCTAGAATCCATATTAACTCAGCGATTATTGGCATGCGTTTCACCAGTCAATTTCTAAAACACAATAATTTGCCCTTGAAGAGGTTTCTAATTTTTCATTCAGTTTCTAATGTGATTTTTAATTATTTTCATAGCTGGACTCAGAGCAAGACCCCTTGAGAGCCCGCTTGAAAATTGTCCAAGATAAAGTCTTGTACACACTCATTTCGGTTCCTGATGGAAACGACATCTCCTCCATATTCGAGTTGGACCCAACCACCTTAAGAGGAGGGGACTCTCTGGTACCCAGGTAGGAAAGCCGTATAGTACGAAATATTGTGAGCTGGCCTCTTCTTAACTTTTGTGGTCTGAGAATCAATTACCCAATTGGAAAATTCATCTGAGTAACTATCTGCTGCATTTAATTTTGGAAATCAAACAACAGACATGTTGTCGTTTGGGGACTTCCAAAGAATATTACATCACTGCGATGTGTTTCTGAAATAGAGCCTGGGTTGAATGTGTGGTGGTACTTTCCAATCAAAGAAATTCTGGTACTGACAATGACTGCTAAAGATCACGACCTTCTGCTCGCTATGCAGATAATTGTAATTTTGGCACCTGAATGTGAAAGATATTGGTCTGTCTTTCATACAGGTGCTATTAATGGAAGTAGTCCTTATGCGTTCAAGCACTATGAAACAAATGCAACGCAAACTTTTTGAGAAATGAAAAAAAAAATTATTGTATATAATGGATAAACACAAACCATTATGCATAACGGTGAAGTGGAAAGAAAGTAGAGATGATTTTTACAAATTTCACAAATAATCTGCAAAGTATTATCTTTGTTTGTTCTATTTACTCTAAAATCCTTCAATTAAAACCTTTAGCCCTCATCTGAAAGTGGTGAGAATTCGGCCCAACTGCAGACAGGTTTTCCACTTTAACTACCAAGTCATGCAAGGAGAGCTTTATCATGGAAACGACCAAGAGGAGCATGGTAACTCTGGTGGTAGAATTTATCGGGATAGCTATTAGCCGTGCACAAATCTGATTTTTGCGGTATGGCTTTGAAAGCCTTTGTTTAAAGAAAGCCATAACAAGTCATATTTTTGCTGTTTTCCAGAAGCAAACAATGATAAGAAGGTTCTGGTCAAATTATACTGAAATTTAAGTTTTTGACACAATTTTTAACTTCTCTACCATCACAAATGAAAGTATGGCTGAGTCTTTGACCTTAAGACAGAAACTCTTTCCTGTTTCTCCATGTTTATGAGCACCAGTCAGGGGAAACTTTCGTGTTGCTGGTTACACTGACAACATTAAAAAGAATAAACCATATGTACTTTAAATTTAAAAAACTATTTAAAACAAATATCCTTTCAGAAACTCATATGTGCGCCTCCGACACCTCTGCACCAACACTTGGGTTCACAGCACTAACCAGCCAATAGACAAGGAAGAAGAAAAGCCTGTCATGCTGCGAGTAAGTGACTAATCTCTTTTCTAATTTCTTATTTAGCTTTTTTCCTCAAAGACTTATTTTTGTTGAAGAAATGTTTCTGAAATATTTAATAGTGAATTTACCTTTATATTATAATCCTTATTAAGGTCCAAAAATTAATCAAATTTTCTCTAATAAGTGAAAAACATTGGATTTTATTTCTGATTCAAGATTGGCACATCTGCATATAAAGAGGATAAAGAGGCTTTCGCCATCGTGCCCGTCTCCCCGGCTGAAGTGAGGGACCTTGATTTTGCCAATGATGCCAGTAAAGTCCTGGCCTCTATTGCAGGAAAGCTGGAAAAAGGCACCATCACACAAAACGAGAGGAGGTAGAAAACACAGCAGCACTGTGGAGTTGATTCCTTGAAGATGATTGTTCTGTTGTGAATTTGTGTTTGTATCTTTTTTTTTTTGTAATGAATAAATTCAGGGCGGTTACAAAACTCCTGGAGGATTTGGTGTTTTTTGTGGTGGACATTCCCAACAACGGACAGGATGTTCTGGAAATTATGGTGAACAAACCCAATAGGGAGCGACAGAAACTCATGAGAGAACAGAATATTCTCAAACAGGTAATGCAATAGAGGAAGAATGGGCACTTCTTGTAAAACTCCCCTGACCGCTTCCTCCTCCTCTTATTTTGTTAGTTTTGTGTGAAAGTGATATAAAAAATGGATTTGCATGGTTGCAGTTATCACAATCTCCTTCCTGCTTGTAGATCTTCAAGCTGCTGCAGGCACCTTTCACAGACAGCGGGGATGGGCCCATGCTGCGACTGGAGGAGCTGGCGGACCAGCGTCATGCCCCCTTCAGACATATCTGCCGCTTGTGTTACAGGGTCCTGCGTCACTCTCAACAGGATTATCGCAAGAATCAGGTACAATTGGTCAACCATGAACATTATTTAATACTCACCACTGCAATATGAGAGGGCCGTAGGGATTTGTTTTTCTGAGGAAAAAGTAATTGTTATGTAGTAACATTAAAGCAATAAAAAATATATATATAATGCAGCTGAACATCCAGTCCAGTCTGCAGTTTGAACCGCTAATGTACCATGCTCATTTAAATGTTCCGTGTCATGAAAACCTATGTGCTTTCCTTGTTGCATCTGCACATAACCAGTGTTTTTTCTTTTCTTTTTCTGTTTCCTGCAGGAATACATCGCCAAACAGTTTCGCTTCATGCAGAAACAGATCGGCTATGATGTGCTGGCCGAGGACACCATCACAGCTTTGCTCCATAACAACCGCAAGTTGCTGGAGAAGCACATTACTGCTGCAGAGATTGACACGTTTGTGAGCTTAGTCCGCAAAAACCGGGAGCCCAGGTGTGACACTGTTTGTTTGGTTATCTGATCTTTTTTTTGTTGAACAACTCATAAGTTATAGATGGTCTTTGACGCTCAGGGTGGTTTTGTGTTCCCTGTGTTTGTGTCCAGGTTCTTGGACTATCTGTCAGACCTGTGTGTGTCGATGAACAAGTCTATCCCTGTGACACAGGAGCTCATCTGTACTGCAGTGTTGGATCCAGCCAATGCAGACATCCTCATAGAAACAAAGTAACACATTTTTCTGTTGCACCCCTCGTTGTCACTAAAGATAGAATAACAACTTTATTGATCCTATTTCCTATCCAAACAGAGCAGTAATTTGAAAAAAAAAAAAAACTTGGATCATTGGTTAATACTAATGAATAAATACAGATGCAGTTGTAAATGACAGTTTAATCAAGACTTTTGAAGAGTTATGTGACAGATTCTTCATCAAGTTTTATCAGAAATTGATAGACTTCACTTAAAGTTGTCAATTTTCAGGCAAGCAAATGGGCATCAAGCTCAGTCCTCAAATATTCCATAGAGTTAAAAAATGGAGCCATAGAGTCAAAAATTGCCCACAGAAATTATTTTTTTACAAATGGTCTGGTTGTTTTGGAAAGCTTTTTAAAAAAAGTAAAAATTAAAATAAAATAAGTACATGACAACTCTCTTGTATTAATTCAAATTATATTTGATATAAAATATCAGATTCCTGATATAAAAATATTTCCAAAGCACTTAAGAGTGACGGGAAAAAAAACAGAAATTTTTTGAGGACAAATATTTTTTCAAAGTACCATAAATAGTTGAGTTTATTAGCATAATTTATACCCTGCATATAAAGTTGATCTTTTGTATTGAATTAATATCATTGTCTGTGCTTACATTGAGTGACTGAAACGTACATGAGTTACCATTTTATAGAGAAAGCACTGGTGAACAGGCAAAGATTATTTCTTAATTTTTTTTAAATCAACAAGCCTGAACATAAATTAAATCAAAAACAAAAAATAGATCCATTATTTTTCTATTTTTTTGAATAATATTTTTTCAGACTGGTGCTCTCAAGGTTTGAGATTGAGGGATCGCAGCTGGGGGAGAACTCTGTGGAGGTAGAGGAGGATGAAGAGGAAGTCTGGTTGTTCTGGAACAACAGCGACAAAGAGTCGCGCAGTAAAAGCGTCAGGGAGATGGCCCAGGATGCCAAAGAGGGCCAGAAGGAGGATAAAGAAGTGATCAGTTACTACAGGTACATTTCTAGATCTCATTTTAGCTGGGCTGAGAAACCCTTGTAATATGGATGGTTGATTAGTCTGATTTTTTTGGGACAGGTATCAGCTCAACCTGTTTGCCAGGATGTGCTTGGATCGGCAGTATCTAGCAATCAACAAAATTTCCATTCAGCTGGATGTCGACTTGATCTTACGATGCATGTCGGATGAAGACTTGCCCTTTGACCTTCGAGCCTCTTTCTGTCGGCTGATGCTGCACATGCACGTGGATCGGGATCCACAAGAGCAAGTCACTCCGGTCAAATATGCACGGCTTTGGTCTGAGATCCCGTCAAAAATCTCCATAAACGAGTGAGAAATGGACCGCAAACAAAATCCTTTGTTACTTCAAGTTACCTTTGTCAAAACTGCTTGTATTTAATTGTCTTTTTAAAGCCGTGTTTATCCTTTTACATGAAGCTACGACAATGATGGAACGACCAAAGATAATATTAAGGAGCGATTCTGGCAGACTATGGAGTTTGTTGAAAACTACCTCAGGGACGTCGTGTGTCAGAACTTCCCGTTTGCAGACAAAGAAAAGAACAAGCTCACCTCTGAGGTCAGTATGGCTGATACAACTCCTTCCAAAAGGATTCTCTTCAATTGAACTTTTTTCACATTTTGTCCCTTTGAACTACAAACTTCTGCATATTTTATGTGACCAACACGTGGAAGTCCATAATTGTGAAGTGCAAAGAAAATTATGCTTGTCTGTTGTCAGTTTTTATGTTGCTGTTTGCTGTAATAAATTTTTAACAAACATCTCAGGCCTTTTCACAAGCCTAAACATAAATTGAATTAAATACAAAAAATATTTGCATTGTTGACTTGTCAAAGCAATTGGAGGTATTAAAGTGAAGGGTGCAGAATACATTTTCATGTTAAACTTTTCAGAATTGTAAATTTAAAAAAATCTCAAATAATATGCAGCTTATTTTTTCTACTTCATAATTATGCAGTACATTGTGTTAATCTGTTACATAAACTTATGATAAAATACTTTGAACTTGTAGTTTTCAAACTTGTATCTGTTTTTTTTTTTTTTTTTTTTTTTTTGTATTTCAGGTGGTGAATCTGGCCAGAAATCTCATTTATTTTGGCTTCTACAACTTCAGTGACCTTCTGAGACTAACCAAGATCCTACTGGCTATTCTGGATTGTGTCCATGTGAGCACTGTTTTCCCGTTCACCAAGCTGGAAAAAGGAGATGGAGGCAGAGGTATAACAACCCAGAGCGGCAAGTTGAGGATGTGAATCTGGTGGCCATGAGGTTGATTTGTATTTGTGTCTTTAAAATGCTTTCAGGCAGTAACGTGATGAGGTCCATTCATGGCGTAGGAGAACTGATGTCCCAGGTAGTCCTGAGAGGAGGCGGATTCCTTCCTATAAATACAAACAGCAGTTCAAATGGAGACACGGTGAAGACACAGATTGAGCCTGAGAAGCAAGACATATTGGTCATGGACACTAAACTCAAGATTATAGAGATCCTGCAGGTGAAATACACATCGTTTAGGAAATGAAATCTGAATGTTTCATGGTCAGTATTTCTGGATTGTATTTCATCTTTTCTCTTGCAGTTTATCCTGAACGTCCGCCTGGACTACAGGATCTCCTGTCTTCTGTCGATCTTTAAAAGGGAGTTTGATGAAAGTACTTCCCAGAACGAGTTATCTATAAGTGGATCAGTAGAAGGGCCAAATAATATCCCAGGTTAGGTTTATCCTTAGATGCAATATACACCAAAGTTGGGATCCACGAGAAACTGAATTTGAGTGTCTTCCTAAAATCCAGGAGCTTTGGATTTTGAAAACATAGAGGAGCAGGCGGAGGCGATCTTTGGTGGAAGGTAAAGTTGGACTATGCTAAGAACATAAAGTTAAATAAGATGTATTTCTATGAAAGCTGGTTTTTCTGTGTATTCAGTGAGGAGAATACACCTCTCGACTTGGACGATCATGGTGGTCGAACCTTCTTAAGGGTCTTGCTCCACTTAACCATGCATGAGTATCCTCCGCTGGTCTCCAGAGCCCTGCAGCTGCTCTTCAGGCATTTCAGCCAAAGGCAGGAGGTCCTGCAGGCATTCAAACAGGTAACCCCTGCTGCTGAACATATCAATGTCAAATTGATTTATATTTCACAAAAACATTTATATTTACACTGCACACTACTGCACTACTTTGTGTAAGTGAACAGAATCACCTGAAAAGATATTGAGATTTCTGTTTGTAACATGAAAAACTGAAAAACACTGTAAGTTTAATACTTAAACGAATCAGCAGCTGTCACATTTTGAAAACATTAGAATACATAAAATAAAGATAATTTACTTCTTGTAAAAATAAAGCCTTTATACCTCCAGTAAACACACATTACTTCTACAGTAATTAGTTGTTGGATTCTATGTAATTGTTTCCCTCTAGTGGATTCTGCAATGATCTCTTTATCCCATAACTTTGGTAACAGGTGCAGTTACTGGTCACCAGCCAAGATGTGGACAATTATAAGCAGATAAAGGAAGATCTGGACAAGCTGCGGTCTATAGTTGAGAAATCTGAGCTGTGGGTGTACAAGAGGCAGGGACCAGATGAGGGCATGGATGGAGGAGAGGGGATGCCAGCTGAACCAGAATCTCAAAAGGTGTGCTTTGTTTTACATCATGCAAACTGAGGTGAACACAGCCACTGTGTGGTCATGTTCCTTAATAACCAATGCTGACGTCTGCAGGACGCAACCGCCACAGACAAACCAAGGAAGGCAGAAAGTGCCAGCAGCAAAAACTACAGGGTGATAAAAGAGGTGATAAAAGTTATTGCCAAAATGAAAGATTTTGCATAATAAATGAAATATTTTTTTCCAGATGTTTAATATTGTTTGTGTTTCCCTCCTACGTCATGGTTCCCCCATAGGTCCTGCTTCGACTCAGCAGATTGTGCATCCAAGAAGGTTTGTCGGGTAGAAAGAGCCGAAAACAGCAGCAGAGGCTGCTAAGAAACATGGGGGCTCATGCTGTGGTTCTGGAGCTGCTGCAGATACCTTATGAAAAAGTAAAAACGGTTTCACATTCCATATTTATTGATTGTAGGTGTGCATAAAAGTGATCATACCTTGGTTATTTTATCTTTCAGGGAGAAGATGTACGCATGCAGGACAACATGAAACTAGCCCATCAGTTTCTGCAGAACTTCTGTGCAGGAAATCAGCAGAACCAGGCCCTGCTCCATAAACACATCAATCTTTTCCTCAATCCAGGGGTCAGCTGACCTTCCTCACCTGGCCTCAAACCCACAGCAGTGATATAAACCTTAGATTACGACTCACTGCTCCTTTGTGCTTCCTGTCATTCAGATCTTAGAAGCCGTCACCATGCAGCACATCTTCATGAACAACTTCCAGCTGTGTAGCGAGATCAACGATCGCGTGGTTCAGCACTTCGTCCACTGTATTGAAACGCACGGCCGCAACGTGCAGTACCTCAAATTCTTACAGACGATCGTCAAGGCGGAGAACAAGTTCATCAAAAAGTGTCAGGACATCGTCATGGCAGAGGTTTTACTTGTTTCCAAATCTAACTTACAAAATACTCCCTCTGAATTTATACCCATTTTGTCATGAGACAAACACAACCTGCGTTTATGTATTTATTTTGATGCTTTTGTGAGAGACCAATACCATACACAAATCATCTCCATGGTAAAAATAATGCATTGTTTTCAGCAGAACTAGTGAAGCTGTTCAGAGGGTTGATGGAGCTGCATTCAGGGTAATCCCGAGACAAAACTTGTTGGGAGATGCCCAAGACTCTAGACTGCATTAGAGAACATTTTCCAGCGTTGCAACAACCCTAAACATCCAGAGCTACATTCGAGTGACTTCAAATATGAGGATGTTCATTTGTTAAAATGACCCTGATAAGTGAAACTTACAGATACAAACACTCTTAAGACTGATGTTCTCCATTCAGTCTGATTGAGTTTGCACTCAATTTTGCAAAGCAGAATGGGCAATATTTATTTCTAGCAAAAAAAGTCTCTAAATGGGCAAGGGTTGTAGAGACATGCCCTGAACGGCTTCCAGCTATTGTTTCTGCAAAGTATTGACCCAGGGGGAATATCAATACAAATGCAAACCCCATTTTGAAAACTACAAATTATTTTAACACTTAAGTGATTCACCAATCTGTGTTGGCCTGTCACATTAAGTCACATGAGAAAATGTAGAAATAAACAGGCAGGAATACGTTTGCAAAGTTCTGTATGTCACTGTTCTTCTTTGGAACTATGCTATGTTTCTCAAACAGCTGGTGAATGCAGGAGAAGATGTTCTGGTCTTCTACAACGATCGGGCCTCCTTCCACACTTTGGTCAACATGATGCGGTCGGAGCGAGATCGGATGGATGAGAACAGCCCGCTCAGGTACCACATACACCTGGTGGAGCTGTTGGCCGTCTGCACTGAGGGCAAGAACGTCTACACTGAGATAAAATGCAACTCCCTGTTACCGCTGGACGACATAGTGAGGGTCGTAACCCATGATGACTGCATCCCTGAGGTGATGGGAGAAGCGAGTTGCATTTGGGATGTATTTAGAAACATGTTTTCTCACTAATTTTGTTTCCTTGCTGCAATCTCTCAGATCAAGATTGCATACATCAACTTTCTGAACCACTGCTATGTGGACACTGAGGTGGAAATGAAGGAGATCTACACCTCCAACCACATGTGGAAGCTCTTTGATAACTTTCTGGTTGACATGTGCAGAGTAAGGAGTATTATGCCTTCTTCATGTGGAAAATAAGAATTAAATTATGCGTCATTTAAACATTGAAATGATTGTTCAGGTGTGCAACAATACGAGCGACCGAAAGCATGCAGACCACGTTCTGGAGCGCTACGTGACTGAGACGGTTATGAGCATCATAACTACTTTCTTCAGTTCTCCTTTCTCTGACCAGAGTACAAGCCTGCAGGTAATCATGTTGCATTGGCTTCTCCAACAACACATCTGTTCAGAAAGTGCTTCAGTCACATTGCAGAGAAAACATTGAAATAAATTAGATATTTATTTAAATATTTAATTCAAGATGATTAAGGTACCATATACTTTGCTTTAGATTTCATTTCTTTGCAGCCCATTTAGAGTCGTAGACTTGGGTAACCATACATGGATCAGAGGAAGGCTAATCAAATTTGTACAGATTAAATTGTTTGAAAACTTTTTCTTTCATTGTTGATGTTTGTTTACTTCCGTATCATATTTTAATAAATTGGCCCTTAGGATGCCTTTTGTGTCCACAGAAGCTTAATCTTTTTTTTTTCCCCTTAGTTTTTTTTTTTTTTTTTTTCATGAATTGTTTACCTTTGCTACAGGATAAACGTCTGAAGACAAGTTTGCAGGTATAGTAAATTTCTTTAGGAGGGAAATAACAAAAGATACAAAGCATTTTTGTGGGATGCAAAACAAAAAAAAACAACTCTTTTTCTTGTTATTAATTGGTTTTGTGAAGTACAAGACAGTTTTATTGTCACTGGGTGACAATACGAGTAAGTGTCTGCTGTGGGATTCATGTGTGTCCAGGAAAATAAATGTACTTCAAATTGTCTCAGCATGCTGATGTAACCATGACTTCTCTCACTCTTGCTTGTTGACTTTTGAAAAGTGGTGTTGGATCTTAAAACACTGTTGGTGCAAGGAAGCAGTGGTTCCCAAACTTGGAGAGGATCTCAAGAAATTATTTGTCAATGAACTCAGATTTCTTTTGAAAGAAAATAATAGCAACACCAAAATGTCAGAGATTTTGTAGATAATTTCCAATCACCGGTTTTGTAAAGCTTTGCCCACATGCTACAGATTTCTTTCTTAAGCACAATAAAGCTCTGTTTTAGGGTCTTATTTATGTTAGAACTGTCTTATGCATAAATGTCTTGCTTCCTAACAAAAAATCTACAAATATTACCGGGAGTCATATTCACTAAATTAGAATGTATTTTAATAAGGCTTTTTATTTTATTTTCATTTTTTTATCAGATTAAGGTTTCTTTTGAAAATAACACTTAGGCAAGTGATAAACACACTTTGCAAATCTACGTTTCTGTTTTAAAAATGTTATGGGGTTCATGTAATTATCTTTGTAAAATCACAAAAAAACCGATGTATTGGCACATTTCTTGGCTGTAATGTTGTAATTACTTCAGAAGTTGAAATGTTTGGGAACCACTGTACACGAGGAAACGTGGGACACTTTTATATTGATGGGGATCTATTTATTTTGCTCCAGACAAGCTCATTGAAAAGGACATGAAGACACAGGTTTTTTTTATATTCTCTGGTGTTTTCCTTCCAGACCAGACAGCCTGTCTTTGTGCAGCTGCTGCAGGCAGTCTTCAGGGTCTACCATTGCTACTGGTTGGGCTCAGGCCAGAAGGGCTCTGTTGAAACCTGTATTAAGGTGCTCTCTGATGTTGGTGAGATTTTCTGGCTTTTTTGAGGATTACCTTAAATTATTTGCATGCACCACTAGTAGCAGATATAAATTGCATTTTTTCTCTGTACTGACCAGCCAAAAGCAGAGCCATAGCCATCCCAGTGGACCTGGACAACCAGGTGAACAACCTATTTGTGAAATCCAACAACATCGTGCACAGAACCGCCATTAGCTGGAGGCTTTCTGTTCGCAACTCAAACCTGTCAGCTCGCAGAGAATCGGTGGTGACCGTGTCGAGAGACTACAGGAACATTATTGAGAGGCTGCAGGTAACATCTGGGGATGTTTGAATTTAACTCATACCAGTTAAGGACAGACATTAAGGGCATGAGCTTGTCTCTTTTGTAGGACATTGTATCAGCTCTTGAGGACCGCCTGCGTCCACTGGTCCAGGCTGAGCTGTCCGTCCTGGTGGATGTGCTGCATCGGCCCGAGCTGCTCTTCCCTGAGAACACCGACTCACGCAAGAAATGTGAAAGCGGAGGGTTTATATGCAAGTAAGCAATGCAGCGAGTTATGTGATTTATAACTTAATTTGTAAAGTGCTGCTGAGACTTTATATCTGATGTGTGTGCGTGCGTGTGTGTGGGTGCAGGCTGATCAAACATACCAAACAACTGCTGGAAGAAAACGAAGAGAAACTGTGCATCAAAGTTCTGCAAACTCTTAGAGAGATGATGACAAAGGACCGAGGTTATGGAGAGAAGGTAAGATGCTCTTCTCTGAAGTAAAATGGTTTGCAATCATAAACCTTATTTCTCACAATCTGCTTTAGATTATTTATGCACTGATGGGCCTCTCCAAATTAAGACCACTCACCTTGCATTTATTTGGGTCCATATTTTCCATTGCAACAACTGTGTCTGACAAAGCACTGGATCCACAAATATCTCTGCAGGTTTACTGTGGCATGACTCACACTGGTCCAGATCATAAGTAAAGGTTGTCCAACTCCAGGATATCAAAAGCCGATATCCTGCATATTTCATTTATTGTGCTTCAACACAATTACTGTCAATGTGTGATTATATAACAGAAACTTAGCTTATCAGAAGTTGGTAATATGATCAATTATTTCCAATGGAAGTTATTTCCTGGCATAAAGCTAACAAAACACACCAGTTTCATTATTTTGTGTGCATGTTACATTAAATGGCCCATAAATTGCTTTAATTCTGCTTTCCCCCCTCATCATGTCAGGAGAAGAATGAATGAAATAACTGAAGGTTCCTTTGCTCTCACAGCCAGTGGTCATAATATTATGCCTGATCACTAATCAGCTTTAAGTGTTGTGCATTTTTCAAGGTGTGGTCATTCTGTTTGAGGGTTTAATATTGAAAGACAATATCAGTTTTTTTTGTTGAAATATTTTTTTCGTTTTGCACACTGTATGGTGATAATAAATGTCGATTAGTTTTTCTTCGAACTTTAAGTTTATTTCTTACGCTCAGGGTCTTTTGAGCCCAAACCCTAACCCTGTCCCTAACGCTGCAGACTCACATAAAAGAAAAATATGGTGTGATACCTACATACAATTGAATTATGAAGGTTTAGGATTAAGAAACACAAACATATTACATCACTTTTCTCTTGAGCAGTTAATATGAAAAGAAGTGACTTCTTTTTGTTAATATCCACTTAGAAAACCCTCAAATGTCTGTGGGCTTCTGGATCTTTTCAGCAATCCTTATCTCACCTAACAAGCACGCCATGCTGTTTTATTGCCCTCAGTGCAAACTTCCTCCTTCCTGCATTGTTACATAACTCTTTAAACCTTCTGTTCTCTTTCAGCTCAGGGCCTTTGATGATGAGATGGAAATGCCTAAGGTTGTCACTCTTTTTCTTTAATTCCTGCCCCCGTTTCCCTGAGCATCTGTCTGTTGTGTCTGTACAACATCTTCAGCTGTTCTGTAGCTGCACTGTTGTTAGTGGGGGTTCTCTGGGCACAGATGGTAGCAAATATGGGGCAGAGTAGCTCTGGTATTGACACCTGCTGCAGCCTTTACCAAAAAAACTGTGTGCTGACTAATTGAGGAGGTGGTAGGTGTGTGTTGTGGCTGATATGTGTGTTGCTCAGTAAAGCTGGGTTGTTACAAACACTAAGGTGGTTGTCTGTTTATCTGGGCCAGGTGGCAGAGGTGCATTTGTGTCTGTTCACTGTTTTCAAACTGATGGCTGATGTGTCTGAAATTGTTTATTATTTTATGGAAATGCAATTTGTGATACTTGATGCTTAGGTTTCAAAGGTAAGTCATTTTAAAACATAATCAAGAGAGTTTTAAACTAGTTTTAGCTTATTTTCTGAAGAAACTGTCTTTTGCCCTGCAACACTTCTCCTTTTTCTTTTCTCCAGAACAGAAGGAGCTTTTTATTCAGGTTGTTCTCTGACACTGTCCCTCCTGGGTCGAATACAAAAGGACTTTGCTTGTTATTCATAAAAAACATTTTCTTTTTTCTTCTGTTTTCTTCTGCTTTGCGTCTATACACAATTTCGCACACAAGAATAAATCCTACTGAAATACTTTTACCTGGCTTGGCATATTTGACAATTTGCATTTGCACGTCATCACATAACCTGATGCCCGTTCCTGCAGAAACAACACGAAAGAAAGTAAAACCACAGAAACCATATCCCATTTTTATCCTCTGAAAAGGCAGTTTTACCATCATCCCGTGTGTGTGTGTGTGTGTGTGCGTGTGTGGGTGTGTGGGTGGCGTTTCCTCTTTATCCACTTATGGCACCAGCAGGGGGCACTGTGACTGTGCACATATGTATGCCTGAAAGTAATGAATGTGAGGGACTGTTGCAGTCATTGAGTTTGTGTCCTAGTTTCCCTTTCCTGCAAGCTGCACGATTCCTGGGTGTCTGCCAACTCTGGGCTGAGGTTACATAAGAACCAGGCTTTTTTTTTTTTTTCCTGGAACTCAGCCCCGCCGCTGATGTGTGACCTTCAACAGTAATTGCCAATAAAAGTGTGGCGGAGCTGTTTACCCACTTGTATGTGTGCAAGTGTGTGCACACCTGTGCGTATAAAGGCAGAGTTAGGATTGGGATAGAGAAGTGTTTGCAGGAGTCTTTCCTGTCAAGCGTTGCATTCATTGTCCTTAGATAAAAACTCAGTGTGGTGTAAGACAACACTTCTCTCAATGAGCTAAACACCCCCCTTTATTCTGTTTTGCCCTTTTGCCCCCAATGCATTTCTCTGAAACAGTTTTAAAACTACCTGAAATACTACTCCGTTCCATTCACACCCTTCTTCATGCCGTTTCAACAACACCTGCTTTGTGTAAACCTAATTAACTTGGCTGTGAATGTTTCTGTGGGTGTGATATGAAAATGCATCCTTAGCTTTTGTCTCCCCTGCTGATCTTTTAGGTGTGGGGTGTTTGAATGCTTTTCTTTCTTCTTGAACTGCAATTTTTTTGTTTATCTCAAATTTGTCAATTCACCTTTTTATCAATGCTGATTGGCCTCTCTGAGATGATGTGGAAAAATCCAAGGGTAGTGGCAGCATCATGTCCTAAGGCATGATTTTTCATATGGCTTTCCTTTCAACAACTGTTGTCCATGATCCTATCAGTAAAAGTTAGAATTGAGGAGTTGATGACTCAAAGTTCGACCTGAACTGTCAATCTCTACAGATGCGTCACAGTACTCCTACGTATTTGATTAATACTGAGTTACCAGGCCTGCCGGTTTAAGTAAACATCAGTAGGGTTACATTTCCGTCTTTGGGTGACTGATTGAACAGTGTCCGCTGAGAGGCTCAAACATTGGGATATTGTTTTAAAACATAACTGTTTCCACAACTTTATCCTTGGCTGAATGCTCTCTAACAAAGAGCAGCACAGAGCAGTTCAATTGGAGTTCAATTAGTTGTAATGAATTTTAGTTTCGGGTATCAGACTAATATGGTATTGATTACAAATGCATACCACACTTCTGTCATTTTAACCACTTCACAATTACGCATTACTTTGTGTTATTTGATCATATAAAATCCAAAAAAACAGATTAAACATTATAGTTGTAACATCCCATCGGTCTTTGTAACATAACAGTGTGGACAAAAAGGGGTGTAAATACTTTTGGGAGGCACTGCAATTATGCTCTGCATGGAGATAAATGATCCAGTCATTGTTTTCTCCCTCATACTGTCTATGTATGTTTGACCTTGTTTTTGTGTGTCCCACACCTCTGCTAAATGTCAGGGAGGCGATTAGCAGTTAAACTTGCTGTTCTGTGTGTTACGCAAGAACCAGAAGGATACATGGAGGACTCATTCTTCCTCTCAAGATGTCCTCCTCACGTGGCTTCGTTGCTCCGAAAATAATAGCACAAGCCTTTTATGTTAACAGCAACTATTTCTGATCCATTTTATGCATTGCGTTGTTTATTATTGGCTTTATTTTTATTTTTTTTATATTCATCCAGCCAGTAAATTTACCCTCATGCACGCTTGCAACTGGGCCACAGCCTCTCTGGTCAGGACAAAAAAATTTTTACAACTCTGGTTTGACAAAGTAGGTCAACTGAAATGAAAATGAGAGACCGCAGTCTTTTAATTTAGCCGTTGTTTTTATGCGCATAAAACAAGCAAAAGAGTGGTAAACCCCAGTTCTTTGCGTCATTGATCTCTGCTTTAAAGATGACTCAGTCTCACGCTGTAGAGATACAGAGATATGTTTATTTTTGCACTTTCAGAAGAAACAAAGTGGAAGGATCTCTTCGTGCAAATGTGTACGTGCACGCATTTGTTTCCTCTAGTGTGGAACTGAAAGGTGTGAGACTGCTCAGGGGTTTGCCGTGGGGAGATTCCAGTTCAGTAAAATTCACTAGCTGCAGCGGATGTGGGAGCTGTGAGAGGTTGCTCTGTGGTGTTTGTGGTCAAGCTCGGGGTTGATTGGCTGCATATATCGGCCCTCATCCACATGTTGCTCTGTAGTTTGATGTGGTCACACTGAGATAGTGTCCATAGATTGGTAAGAAATTATGGTGTGTAAGCTCCTTATCTTCTTGCTGAACTACGGCCCTCTGTGTCCTCAGTGTTAAAGTTATGTTGAATTTGTTCCTTTAGGACTTAATAATAAACTAATGGACTGAAAAAGAGCTGGTGCTCACTGATTAGTTTTTAAGCTTTTTTTGTGCAAACTTTGTGTTGTTTGAGCAATAATCGCTGAAAGCTGCTCTGTGGGCTTCAGTTATTTATGTAAGTTTGACTTTCTTCATTAGTACAACGTCTCATTTAGCCATTGTTAACATGGAACATGTGCAGTGTCTTAATTTGATTAATTTAATACAAGTCTGTTTTTTTTTTTAAATAAGCTTTTGTCAAATACTGTGGGTTTGTTTATAGATAGAAAACTTGGATGACCAAAAGTTTTTATTTGCCAAATGCTAACATAACAGGAGTTTTTGTTACTTTCTGTAAATTCAGGGATTTATGAAAAGATTACTGCAACTTTAAACAATTTGGTACACATCTAGCAAAGACCAGAAGATAATGATAATGGGCTAAAAGATCACTCAGCCATTTCTCAAAAAGCAACATGAAAAGCCTGATTTCAGCTCGCAGATGAATTAAATTACAAAATTATTCTTCTTTTGGTCAGATTAAACTAAAATTGTTGCATTTTGCCATAATGACCATTGTTACATTTGTAGGAAAGAGGGGAAAGCTTGCAGGTCTGAGAACACCATCCCACCTGCAAAGTACAAGTGTGATAGCGTCATGTTTTGTGGGTGCTTTGCTACCAGCAGGAGTGGTGCACTGCATAAAATGGCATCTGCAAGAAAGTTGAAAGAAGATAACGAAGCAACATCTAAAGAAATCAGTCAGGAAGTTAAAGCGTGGTCACAGATGGGTCTTCCAATTGGACAATGACTATAACCATACAACCAAATTTATTACAAAAGTGTGTTAGGCGTGACCATTATAAAAACCCTGATGTCAGTCCCGTAGGAGCCCTGACTCAGTTACTCCAGTTGGAATTGGCCAATATTCTAGGAAACTATTGTTAGAAGCTTATGAAGAAAACCCCAAAATGTTTGATCCAAGTTATTCAGTTTAAAGGCAGATTTTACAAATGTTACTGCCATTTTGTGAACATTTACAAATTTTAAAAAGTTAAAAGATATTGCCATAGTTATTCTTCCATTTAACAAGTAAAACATTTTTGGAAATCCTAGCTGACCTAAAATTGTTTGATTTTATAATCAGACTGTATGAAACACTGGTGGTCAGCAAAATTAATATAATAGTGTATAATTCAAATGCACTAAATTGCCGTCATTTGCATATCTTCAAAAGCCTTAATGTGAGCATGTTCTGTGTTTTCTCTCAGTGTCTTCTACACCTTCGTCACTATCATTTTCTTGCTCTGTCTCTGTCTGCATTAGCACCCCCACCCACACAGACAAGCCAACAAAATCCATTTTGTAACTACTATCTATTTTAAAAAAAGCATCACATCACATTGCAGCAACTCTGAAAACAGTTATGGTTGCATAAACTCCCAAAAACAGGATGTTTTTGAGGTTTAAGTTTTATTATTTTGAACTTTAGCGGAAGTGAATAAATGTTAGTTGGCTGTGTAAACAAATGTTTTTGCAAGCATAATTGTCTTTTGTCTAGTGTTGGATTACTGTGCTGTCTGAGTTTCCTTCTGGTTGTAATTTCATCTAATTCACCAGCATAATGGCAAGTTCCATTTTTGAGGACCTTACTTGAACAATTGTAGTTCCACAAAACGATACTTTATGTAAAACCAAAAGCCTAATTATTGTAAATAAAAAAATATGTATACCTATATATCTTCTTTTTCTCTGGGCTTCTCACATGGCCAAAACAACACTTGCAGCGTAGAACCATACACGACTAGAGTATCTGCAGCATCATACTTCTGGCTGGCCAAATTATAATTTCAAATGTGTATAAAATAATTAATTTGAAGAGTTTCTAACTTTGTGGTTTTATGCTTATGATGGCTTTTGCAGTTCACTGTTGTACTACATGCAAACTGCAATGTTGAAAGAATTATGAAGGCAGATTCTGAGACATTTTAGAGGATTATGTTTATTAATGTAATCAAATGTCAAGCTAGGACATGTCCAATGAAAGAGGAACTAAAATTACTGTAGGTTTAGGATCAACTTACAGCTGTGTGACGTTTGCTGAGTTTGACTCTTATCGCATCTTAAAATCTTGACTGCAGTTGTGTTTTGTATACTTGCCCTTTCTTTTTGCTTCCATTTCTGTTCTGAGTGTAGTGAAATTATCAGTGCAAAGACTCTGGTATAAACACTGAAACCTACAAAACATTGCGGCCCTGACACCATCGAGGCAGAGCAATGACACTGGGCTTCTGTGACTCTTCTGGTCCCTTTTTGTGCCTTTCATCAGTGATAATCCTGTGTTTTGGTGACAGATGGCCCCTGTAAGCAGCTCTGTGTCATTGGTTTTGTGGCCTGGTTTCTTTTGGCATGATTATGTAACTCTAACCCCATCACCCATTGCCTCTGCCCTCACCTCTGTAGCCTCTCCTAATTAGGCCTTTTACATAATGCATGAGAAGCAGCATCTCTTGCAAGTTTTATGTGGGTGTACAATAAATATACAGGTGTATGGAAATGCTAAATGATATTTACTCTAAGCTACTGGTCTTCAGATGAGCCAGTGAGGAAAATGAAAATGGGAAGACTCTAAATTTGATGCTTCTGAAATGTGATGTTTGTGCACGTTCCCTGCAACGTGGCTCATACCACAACTTCTCAACTTTCTGATTACTCATGAATGACCTTAACTAACAGTTGCTGTGTGATTTCAGTTTCTGCTCAGTCAATGCTTTGTTCTCGAATTGTAAAAGATGAATTTGGCATTTTGGTAAAATGACTAATTTCCTTTCCTGCCTTTTGTAATGGGTGCTAAAAACACTGAAGACAGAAAAAACAAGAAAACAATGCTAACTTTGACAAAGTAACAGTTTCATCCAGGACATAATCTGTAAATTAAAATGAATACTCTGAATGTCTTCAAAAAGCAATTGAGCTGCTGGATGCTTTGATAATCTGTTTTGTTGCCATTAATTATAAAATCTGTCACCTTAAAAATAGTTTACAGGTCTCTTGGATTAGCTAAATTGTGTAGCTTTAGTAAGTTGGTACAAGCAACCTCAAAGTTAAAAACAATAATGTTTTTTTTATTTGCGATGAGCAATGAAAGGATGAAGTTAGATTTTTAAAACTTTTAAGATGTGAATTTTTCACCAAGCCTTAATTAAGCGTTTAGTCTTAATGCTATAATTGTATAAATTAGATAATATGAATTATATCAAATTTTGTGAGCTTAATGAGCTAAAATAAGCTAAAAGTAAACTAAAGTAAATTAAGATAAATTACCTCAAGCAAAATAAGATACTTAAAAAATAGATTGGATGCTCCTAAAAGAGAGAATTAATTATATAAATCTAAAGAATTAGCATTTTAAAAGATAAGATAAAGTGTAAAATAATAAGCAGATGTATAGACTAAGGTAACTAACTAATATAAGAGAAGCTAAATTAGCTAATATAAGACAAAATTAATTAAGATTAAGTAAAAAAAACAAAATACTCTCCAAAAAATGCAATTTTACAATAGCAAATTTTGTCATTGAATTATCTTTTAATGATATCGACATACTCTTGTTTTCCACTGATTGGTGCTATAACTTAGGAGCTTTGTGATGAAAATGACCAACTAAACATCCGTACTATTTCTTTCATGAGTTTAAAATGAATTATTATAGTTAGCTGATAAGTGGGATATTGGGAGTGTAATAAAAAATAGATATATCTAAAAAATCTGACGGGCAGATAAATGTTTGCTAATGACAAGAGTTAAATTCGTTAAGGAAAAGCTCAGGTTCCTCGAATGTGAAACCAGAGAGGAAGACAAAATGGCAGTAAACTGCTTTTCCCTTTAGGGAACATACTTTACACGACAGCACAAACGTTTATGAAAGCCATAAATTTAAGGACTTGTTTTTCCTGGTTAACCTTCTGTGTGGAGTCTGTGTGTCCTTTGAATGCTTTCATTATTGTTCTCTTAGAAGAATCTACAAGCATGTACGTGAAGTCAAATGGTGGAGATGAGGAGTTTGTCCAAGTGTGCATGATTTTGTGTCAACTGTCTCTGTTAGTATTTGTTTTGGTATTGGGACTAACTTTTCCCATTGACAGTTCACTCTATCCTATTTTCATCTTCACATATTCCACATTTCATCTTCATATTTTGTTGTCAGCATGTTAACCTGTGATCCTATATTTACATATTTAATTCTGTGCGTACTGCCATGTTGGGTCAAAGCAGAGGCTTGATTTCAACAAACTAAACATATGGTTAACTGTTTCCTTATTAAATAATTTAATTGGGCATTTGGCATCCAATAAATACCTCACCTTTCATAGTTGTGAATGTTTGCTATTTTCTGGTTTCTGACCTAGCTGTAAAAGCATGGCAATGCGTACTCAGCAGATCATTGCATGGCCACTTGTGACAGCTGGTAAATCCACTGTGTAGTAATTAATCTGAGAAATGTTGTGTCTGTGCTGCATGAATATTAACTCTGTATTTGTGTTACAATGCTTGAATCACTCAATGCATACAGAAGCTGGATCAGAACGTGCCTCCGAAACTGTTGGCAGACCAGAGAAGGGTAGGTACTTACACCAGCATGGCAGCTTAACTAACATCTGTAATAGAGACCTATAGAGACTCATATTTACCCTTGTTGGTAAACACATGAAGGTTTAAAAGTATTACATTTATCTTAGTAATATCACTTTAATTACATTCATGTGAAACGATAGATTAGCTGTGAAATTTATATTATCAGTTTACTACACACTTAGACAGGGACATTGCAAATACATTTTTATGATTTTGATGTCAAGATTATTTACTGACTAAAATGGTCTTTATCATTTGAAATTGTTTTGTTCCCACTTTTGAAAGTGAAGCACATTGACAAAATGACAAATTGGTCCCTCTTTCACTCCAGTTTTATGACACAGTTGATTGGCCTTTAAAATTTTCAGGAATGACACCATAACGAAATACCAACATCCTCTTTTCAGTTGGTGATAATCCAACTTGAGTCATTGTGCGTTTGGTTCATCCATTTGAGTTTTTGGATCTCAAAAGTTTACATGTCTGTGTTTATGGGCCAGGTTTCTGTGATGTATAAAAAACAAGTGTGTGACAAATCATTTCCAAACTTAGTTCACCTTTAATGAAAAAGACCCAAAAATTTTAGGTTAATAATAAAAGGGATAAAAAAAGGGTGTTATAATGTCCAGGATTTTGAAACATTTCAACAAAATACTCCGTAAAAATTACCTTTTACTTAATGTCAGTATGTGGAGCTTGTCACACATTGTTTTGAGAATTGTGTACACTTTTACATCCATACACAAACAGTAAACCATTGCATCACTTCCTCAACCAGTGAAGCCAAGACAAGACAGTTTATGCGAGTCTGTGACTTTCCCTTGCTTGTAACAGAGGGGGTCTGACCTCAGCCCCCTGCTGGAAGGCAGTGATGTAAAGATGCCGAATGGATTGTGCTGCCAGCTGGCGCACAATTGGGAAGCAAAAACAAGACTCAGAAATAATTACCAAAGAGAAGGAGGCGCATAGTTGAAATATGAAGCATTTAACATCAATCACCACCTCGAATCATCCATAAATATCGTTTATGGTATGGAGAGTCGTCCAACATGGCCTGCGTCAATGATGAGTCACCAAAGCTCCTGTCATCCCACACTACTGGCTTTGTTTTTGAAGGCTCACAGCTGCACAGCATCTCCACTAGTGAGTGATAAATACAAGAGGGAGCTAAGAAACGTCTGCAGTTGCTGGTTTATGAAGGAAATGTTTTCGGAAATACATTTATGCCTTTAGCTAAAGATGTTAGGAAAATTCTACTGACAAAGTGCTACTTTATGTCTTGTTTGTTAATTTTCACTGAAATTAACAAAATGCAGCTGAAGTAGTGAAGTCACACAAGACACATTTTGAATTAAAGATGGGAATAGTCTATAAATGATACATCATAATCTCTCCATTTACATCACATAATTCTGGCCTTTTTTGTAGGGGTGTGTACACTATTGAGATTATCTTACGTCCGTGTTGGAAAGTCACTCTTGAGGACTTTAAATCATTTAAAACCTCATAAGGAAATAAACATTGTGAACATACATGCTTCTGAATAGCCTACCGCCAATAAAAGATGAGTTCTTCACTCCACACACAAAAAGTAATCGTGACCCCCAGAGCATGACGCCGGCAGCAGAGTTTATATAATTTTGCGGCCGTCTTTCAAGGACGAGCCACAGCTCACAGTAATTTGCACATAATCGCACACAAACACTCGAATCACAGACTCTTTCATTTCCTTCACTTTATCCCATGGGAGGTCTCTCAGGTAACGGTGGGCTGCGGTTACTGTGGCAACAGCAGAGTCGTGCCGCTGACTGCTCGACAGTGGATGAGTCACGGTGTAGGAGGGCTGCCCTCTGGTCTGCCTGAGTGGAAACCAGGACCTCCCATTGTCATTGCATGGGGGTCACTGTTGCAATAACAAATAACCGTTGCATGGGAGACGCATGACATAAACTTCATGTTAAACTGTGACAGATTTTGTAAAATATTTACAGTCACTCATGGAGGAAACGCTGTTACAGGGTTTGGTTATGATTGTTGGAAGGTGAAAAGGCTCTTCGGTGCTTGAATTAAAAAGAGCCAGACATGTTGATTCTTGTGTTGTTATATTGGCAAAGCCCAAAAGTATGTCCAGTGGCACCAAGGATTACCTTGACCTGTCAACATGTTGGCAGTCTGAGATTTTCTCCTAGATTTCTGTATTTCAGAATATCTTACTCGTGTTATATAATCTCCCTTCTCTCCCCTGTCGCTGACGTCACACTATTACATCCTGCCCTTTCTCTTCTACTTTTAGGGCGAGGCGCTGAGACAGATTCTGGTGAGCCGTTACTATGGAAACTTTCATCGGAGCAGTGGGCGGAGGGACAGCCTGACGTCATTTGGCAGTGGCCCCCTCAGTCCGGTAGGACCGGGTAGGAGTCAATCAGGTGACTGTTTTGATCATTTCCAGCCTTGAACGTCAACATTTATTGTAAAATCATTTCGCTGTGCCTTTTTTTCCCAGCTTGCAACAGAAAGGTCGTGAGAACGCTGGTTGCAACATCTCTAACTGACCCGATTCTGATGTGAAGCAATGAGCCTTTGGAAAAAAATAAAGGGCATCTTGCTGGCCGGAATGATGATATCAGATGGCAGAGCCTCTGTGAACCTTTTGCTTTTCTTTTTTGTCTTACAAAAGATGAAACACAAGAATGTGGCTGGATCTGTCTGACCCTGAGCTGGTTATCAGCCCTGAGGTTCTGCTGCGAGCTGCCCTTTGAGCACACAGAGCACAACATTCTTATCAATACGTGATAAAGAGGTCAATGTGTTACTATGTGGAGTCAAAATACTGAAGCAATGCATGATGGCTATTTGAGTCATTGGTTGATTTTTAACGTTTGTAATAATGTACGGTGTTTTTATCGACCTGCAGCTGCTCTGAGCCTGTGATTTTCATGAATTTAGAATTAAATTAATGAATGATTTGTGTCTGGCGTAAAATTCATTCACATCATATAACTTGCTGTAATGAAGCAGTTGTAGTGAGCGGCATTTGACTGGGTTTAGAAACACAATCACACTGGACCCTAGTTTCCCATCTTGCCCATGCACACCATCCAGACCACAGAAAGCATGACCTCTCCCATCCATGATGAACTTCTTTTTGTTGCTAAGAGACAGGCTGGTACGTCCTGTGGAAACAGTCTGTGCACCTGTTGCAGAAACAAGAGCCAGGAAAGGAATTCAATATGCAGCCTGAAGTTGGGGCCCCACGCTGGGGGAGAAAGGTGCGGGAAAAGCTGGATGCAGCGACTTGCACAGCTGTGAATTGGAGCTGTTTGGGGCGAGGTCCTAAATTGTAAATTTTTAATTGATATTTGTTTCACTTCACAACTTAATAAACTTAATAGATTTAATAGACTAAGTAATTTCATTTGGCTCTTAGTGATGAATTAATGCAATATATTTAAGTTGGATCACATGTTCTCCTTCTTGGAGGCAAAACCATTTTCTTTGTTTATTTGGCCACATGTTCTGAATTATTATCCTTTTAAAAGTCGTAATAATGAACCAGTTTAAGTTTTCTGGTCAAGTCCACCCAATGTTGTTGTTGGGTTTTGTTTTTTTTTTTCAAATGCTTGTAGTATTTTAACCACTTTCTTAAGAAATCTAGAGGAAAGGCATGTATGATTATGTTGCTGTAATATATATATATATATATATATATATATACATTCAGTTATAACAATTATATTATTAAAAAGAACATCCAATGACAGCCTTGGATTTACGTGTTGCTTTCTTTTGGTCTTGCAGCTTTAGGGGGTCCTGGCGGCCTCAGTCGGGGGGAGATGACTCTGTCAGAGGTTCAGTGTCATCTGGACAAAGAAGGAGCTTCTGATCTCGTTATTGATCTAATTATGAACACTACCAGTGATAGAGTCTTCCAAGAAAGCATACTCTTGGCCATTGCATTACTGGAAGGAGGAAACACAATTATCCAGGTCAGACACACAAATCTAGACTCCATCGTTTGAATTTACATTTTTTGTGGATGGTGTTTACTATTAAATGATGCCTGAGTATTTAACATCAGTGATCAATCAGTAATGAAGAGTTTTGCAGTTTTTTATTTGCTTAAAATGGAAAGAATGCACTACATGCAGGTCAGTATGCCATTGCAGTCATGCATATGTACATTCCCACCCTACATTTCTCAATCTACTTTATGCTGACGAAAAACCGGGTCATCTGTTAATAATTTTCCCAGTTTGTCGATAACCACAAAGATCAAGCTGTGAAATTACGTTAAAACATTTCCTCCTCTTGGATTTAACCAGAGCCATTCAGACCTTCTTTCTGCAGGCCTTTGTAATCTCTGTTTCTCTCCTTCTTTTAATCAGTTTATCTCTTTTTCTATCCATTTTCGTTGGTCAGTCTGCGTGCTGTTGTGTAAGCTGGGCTTGCATAATCAGATTAGAGCGAGGAAGCCACTAAGGCGGAGATAATGCATCGGCTTCCCACGGCTGCTGCAGAGCAGCGTCACGTGATCAGTCTGTGTTACATAAGGCAGTGTGAATGAACAATGAGGAATGTCTCAGCCTTCAAAACATTCCTGCCTCGCTCCCTTAGGTTCTCCTGCCGCCCAAACTGGGTCATGCCGGGCCTCAGGAACTGGGGCAGTGGGGAGAGAGGGCGGAGAGGTGAGGAAACACAGAGAGGGGATTGAGGAAAAACTGGAGATCTCCTAACCCTTCCCAACTCGTGTTTGCCCAGGAAAAAATTTGAAAATTTATCCTGCTGAGATAGAAATATACTACAGTGTTTGTCTGCTTTAAGTTACTGGATAATATCCTAAAGGTTTCCAGCAATGTGAGTGGAAGCCAAGTCCGTGACAAGTCATAGATCATCTCAAGCTTAGATTTTTTTTACATCGTCATCATCCATTGTTACTTCCCGAGCACCTGCTGGGTGTCGCATATCTCGTTTTCATGTAACACTGTTAACTATTTACTCTTGCCCTACTTAGAACAAAAATAGCCAAACTATCTACTGTAAATCTCAAGCATTCAGTTCTTCAAACTCATGTGGCTCTCCTGTTGTATTGGACCTCCAAGACTAATGCATAAATGCCCACACGCAATAATTAATGAATACTTAATTAGGAACACTGGATGGAAAATATTACATATTTCAAGCTATGCTTCAGTGTGTCAGTAAGAAACTTAATGGATTACTTTAGGAACTTTAGGACTGAACCAGAATGTCTTGAGAGTGTTCAAGAATACAACGACTGACTGATATTAAAATGATTTCTAACATACAAATATGCTTTGATCTAAGCCATGCTAATGTTTCTCTGGCTCGTGTTCAAGATCATTGTTCAGCTGAGAAGTGAACCTGCAAACTCTTCACAAACTCTTCACAGGTGTTTGTACCCTCTAACAGATTCCCTTACTGGATTTCCTGGTTGTTTGCTTCTTCCATCTTTAGCATCAACTCAAATCAGCTTCCTTTTCTTTGGTGAAGCAAAGAATCCCCAACCATGTGTTTGTATGGGAATAGAGTTCATGGGGTGTTATGTAGTGTTATTTACAGCATCTAATGTTTTGCTAGTTATACGACTCGTGAAAGAGTTCCTTCTTTCACATGTCTGCAGTGTCCCTTATATGACTGGCAATTGGATTTTTTTTTTTTTTCGTTTTTTCTTGCCATCTCGTAAAATGCTCAAGTTTTTGGAGCGTACAGCTTATGGCTGACCTGTCAGCTGTGAATCTCTGCACCTCCTTCAACGGTAGCTTAGGTCTCTTGGGCTGCTTCTTTAATTAATGTCCCCAAATACAGCCAGTCAGTTGACATGTGCAGCCATGTTTTTTAACTTAATCCTGTTTCAAAAGCCTCCACAATTGTATTGCTGACATGTCCTTTGGTGCCTTGTGATTCTGCTTGTTCACTAATGTTCTTCAACAAACCTCTGAAGCGTTCAAAGAACGGATACATTTGTACAGAGATTTAATTACTAAAGGCATCCTTTCTTCGCTCTCTTGGGTTGACTGGATTTGAGTAAAAGGAGAATAAATATAAATTCATGCCACACTTTCCAGATTTAAAATTTTCAAAATTTTTGGAAACTTTGCATGATTTTGCAAATACTTATTATGGATTACTTTGTATATTGCAATGAAACAACATTGAATTTTATACTTGTAATAGGAAAAAATGTGAAAAGGTTCATAAAGACCAAACCCATTTCAAGAACTTCAAACATATTGTTGGGAGCATAAAACATCCACATTATTCTTCCTCGGGAAGAATGCTCATTTCCTTCAAAGATCTGCATCTTTTATTGCAACAAACATTTAAAATTTTACAGTATTCCCATTTTTTCATCTGGAATTTACTGGATGTCTTAGTTCTTCCAAATCCTATTGCTGACCTTTTGGAAATTTATACTATTTTCAAACTGATATTTTTGTCAGAACTCCACATCTTTCATTTTTGTTTTGCATGAAACCTCTAATGTGATGTTAGAATGGTCCAGTCAAAAGTCAAAGTAAATATTACAGGGAATCTGTAGCATAACTACTTAATAGGTAAAAAAAAAAATCAATGTCTCGACTCGGGTGTCCAAGTTGAGTCCTGGAGAGCAGCCCAAACATGCTCGCTTCTCAACCCACCTAAATCTCATCAGTGTATCATTTCGAAACCTCTGCAAAGCCGATTGATAATCCTGCTAATGAGGGATTTTACCCATTTGATTCCGGTGTGCTGAATCAGGGATCCATATAAAAGATGAAGGTACTGGCTTTGGGCAGCCATAGTCTAAATGTAAAACAGCAGTAGAGACACACCTCAAAACATAAAGGGGTTCTACAAAATATTGATTGGAGCAAAGGGGATAAATAAAATGCAAACCATACTTTCCAGATTTTGCACAAGTATTGCATCTCAATTTCCACATACATAGTTTTTTAATTCCATGTGAAAAAAATATATGAAAACATGTATTTTTTAACATGGCAAAACTGGAAAAGCTAAAATACCAGAATATACAGTCAGAGTGGGGAAGTTAGTCATGGAAGAACATTTTGGAATTGTTTTTGCTGGAGTGGGCATTTATTCTCCAAAAATAACAGAGCGAAAACATTTTGCTCTACATAAAATCTCTGGTGTTTTAGGTTTAAAACTAAGAAAATCTGATGATTAAAAAATGTTATTGCATTCCAATTTATTTACTTTTAAGTGGTAGCTTTTTTCCAAAGTCCCTATCCTACACCTCATACACAAAGCTTCTTCTCCTGTCCTCTCCTCTCCATCTTTGTCTCCAGTCAGCTTCGCTGCAAAGAGCTATGACAAATCAAACGCAAGTGTAAATTCTGTTGTGACATGGTGACTTGTGACATTTCACTCATCCGCCATCTGCCGTCTAACTACACGCCACGCTGCTCTCTTTCCCTGCCGAGGTGTTGTAAATGGAGGGGGGGAAAGAACCCTGTTGATTTAAAATTGAAAATCCTAACAGACTCAGATTGTTTGTTGGAGGAAGAAAGGGATGAGAAAAAAGGAGGAAAAAGTCTTCAGGGGGTTAAAGCAGAGAGCTAAGCAGCAGCTCCGTTTGGTCTACATGTGGCGCTGGCTGACGTGAGAGGAAAAGAGGAGCGCAAGTATAAATAGCTGTTACATAACATCCTTTTGTTGATGCCAAGTGGTGGAACGGAAGGAGAGAAGGGAAAGCGCTCTGACCTTGTTTTTCAGCACTGTCCGCCCCCTCCCGGCCCCGCTCCTCTCCGTCTCATAGTTACAGACAGGTTGTGTGTTTACCCAACACTACAGGGGGGCCCCTGAGACGTGTGGTCCTCTTCTTTGTCCACCTCATCTCTCTACGCTTTCGTCCTCTCCTTTTGTTTTTTTTTTTTTCCATCCTACCAAAACACGCAGAAGGCTGTACTGAAAGCAATGGCACGGATTTGGTCGATGAGCTTCTCAGGGCAAACATCGAAACTAGAGGCAACAGCGTGATTAGATATGAAAGTTTAAGGTTCTCACTTATGATTCATTGTCAAAAACATTTCTAAAGAAATCATAAAATGAAAGTTAGGTCGCTTTGTTTTTTTTGATAGTCTTTGCTGTGGCATTGTCTTTGTTTCGGTCATGGATTACAGTGTAGTTCTTAGAAACTGAGTTTTGACAAAGGACTGCATTTGTGTCTTCTGGGCTGCAGGTGAATATGAAAATGTTTTTATGACCAGCACATTTAAATGGGACCAGACTCTTTAAATGGGAATTAAACTAACAAGCTTTTACCAAAGTGGAACTTGATCGTCTAATAAAGTTGAGAAGGCCCTTCTGGCATGCTGCTGCACTCTCACACTGTTTGGGATATTTGTGGTATCTGGCCTTTCCAACAGAGGAGCCATTCTGCTTTGATAAAACATAGTGTGGAAAACCAGTTTGATTACATAAGAATAAAAATGGCAGATAGAGAACACTGAACTTTAGGGCATGTGTGCGATTGTGGGTGTGTCCTTTTCAAAACTGGCATGCGCTGATTGCCAGAGACAGCTGACCCATTTTTTTTTTCGCAAGTGCAAAAGTCAGTGGGCGTACTGGTGTGTGCAATCTCCAGCCTGTTTGTACTTGAACTGTACAAGGATTTTTGTTTGTGTGTGGCGGTGCCAGTTATGTAATGCTTAAGGATGAGTGGTTCTTTGTGTTTCCTGTGGTCGGGTCGATGTATGTTATTCACGCTGTGCCTTGTTCACCCCCTGCTTCAGAGTTATATGAGCATGCATGACAATAACTAGCCCCCACCTCCTTCATGTTCATACCCTCCACAAGCGTGCTTGGACTTGTAAACTCTGGCTGGACTGTCAGTGGTGCAGCTAATCCCGTCTCTGCGCTTCCCGTCTATCATCAGGTTGTTTATTGCTCGATGGCCTTGTCTTGGCTGGCGGTTTCTCTTGCTCTCCCCACGCTGCCCATCTCCTTGTCTTTGAGACTTGGCAGAGTGTGTACGTGCAGGAGGTCTGCAGCTCAGTGGTGGATGGCCAGGGTGGGGCATAGAGCTGCGGGTCTCCTTTTGAAGTGCGAGTTCTGATTAATATCTTTTTTCTTTGGTCAAAAAGCTGATTGTCTTTTTTGTAGCCATGTAGCTATACAGACCTTTTTAATTTCAAAGGCACTGGAAGTATTTTGTTGGAGAAAGAGAAATGGAAACCTCATGTCTATAATCTGTGTCCTTCTTTTGTTGTCCAGCCTTACGTCTAACCTGGAAAGACAGATGGTTATGTAACAAAATTTGAGAAGTGGCCTAAATACTGCCTGATAACATTCTGTCCCTCCCTATCTCTTGCTCTCATTTCCCCTCACTCAATCATCCCTTTTTTCATTTATAGTCAGTTTTTCTTCCTCGTTCGCCTTCCCCACACACCATCTCTGCCATTCGATCTGTGTAAGTAGGCCAGATTTCTCCCTCCCGCCTGTCCTTTGTAATTTTTTCACCCTGTAAGTGTGGCAAGGCTGTTTTGGCTGGTAAAAAGCCTTTCCATATACTGCTGCAGTAACAGCTCTTACATAATCAAAACAACAGCCTTGTGGACTGGGACACGCTGTATACATCGTCCCTGGCAAGCTTGAAACTGCTCTAATTCTCTGTGACCCCATTCTGAAGCCTTAACCATGGCATTAAACCCGCTCATATCTTGGACCTCCTTCATGGCCGTTGTATAACATTTTTCTGAAGGCCCTGATAAGACCATATCAAGTGATACTGTTTTTTTTTTCTTGAATGGTCAGACCAGAAGTGCTGATTATGAAACTATACTCTCACTGACATCGAAAGTGCAATATTTGTGTTAATAATTAAATTGCTTGCCTAGGACTAGGACAATGCTGCAGGTGCTTTAAAACTTTTATTTCTAAGATTTCTTAGACAGAAAGTGAAACCATTTGTGCCGAATTTCTGTGGCAATAGCTGATGCATTTTGTAGAGCTTTTACATGATAGCATGTTTGAAACCCATAAATATATAATGATTATCCTGTCAAGATGTGTTCAAACTTATCAATCTTGATGGCACAAGATCGATATACATTTATCATTATACTAAATATATACATTAATTTAGTGTAAATGAATGTATACTAAAAAGTATACATTCATTTGAATTCACACACAAATAGACGTTAGCGTGAGTTGTGTTGTTGGCTCATCCTTTTGCAGCTACAGTTCTTCTAGGAGGTTTTCTGCAACCTTTATGAGTGTGTTTATGTTGATGGGGTTTTGGACATTTTTCAAGAAGTGCATTTGTGAGGTTAGACACTGATGTTGGATGGGAGGCCCTGCTCAGCTTTAAAACAAGTTTTCTGTCATGTTGAGATCAGAACTATAGTATAGCTAAGTGAACTACGTTCAAACAGGAGTTCAGATTTTTTGTTGTGATTCAACTTTGATTTATGTTTGGAGAATTTCTGGGGTTTCTGGGTTTGAAACATGATGACATTTTCCTATTTTATAAAATTTTCCCAATATTTTTCCTTGTATCCAGCGCTCTTTCTTTTGCCGTCTGACCGATGATAAGAACTCAGAGAAGTTCTTTCGGGTTTTCCACGACCGTATGAAGTCGGCTCAGCAGGAAATCAAAGCGACTGTGACGGTAAACACGAGCGATTTAGGAAACAAGAGAAGAGACGAAGACAACCAAGACAGAGATGCCCCTGTTCGCAAAAAAGGTCTGATATAAAATTTAAAGCAGAAAACAGTCATTCATTTTTCAGGTCAGATATCATACTCTGTAAATTGATAGTTACCTAAATGATGACTATTTGTTTCACAACTTTGCTGCAGCCCGAGATTCAGCTGTGTCAATGACAGAAGATGTGAAAGAGCAGTTGATAGAGGCCTCATCTGCCACCAAGAAGGCGTTCAACTCTTACCGGCGGGAAGTTGACCCAGAGGACCACAGTTCCTCAACAGAGGGGCTGCCCAGCGCTGGGGCCAAGAACCAGGAGGAAAAGATGAGCTTTGTGGTCGTTATCATGCAGCCGATTCTTCGCTTCCTGCAGCTGCTTTGTGAGAACCACAACCGTGACCTGCAGGTGGGACACACAGCGTTTCAGAAAGGTTTCAGTATCAGTGTATCAGTTTTAATGTCTGAGGATATGTCATTTATGGGTTTTAGAGAAATTTTGCTATAAACTGTCTTTTATCACAATAATTACTTCAGTTAAATGTCAGGTTTACACTTCTACTGTATTTGTATAGATCTAAACACTAAAAATCTTTATTTAATTGCTTATCTTTTGTCTTTCGATGTGTTCTGAAAAAATAAAGTAAGGCATTCGGAGCATAAATAAAACCCAGCAGTAATTCATGCATGTGTTGAAAAAACAAATGATCTCCTTGTCTTTGTGGGTTTCATTTTTATTTATTTATCTCAAGCCTTTTGATAAACTAAAGTTTCTTCTGTTTTTAACAGTAAATCTGTTAAGATACATGTTAACATGATGATTGGTGAAAGATTATGTTAAAGAAGCACATTTGACCACGAATCTTCATTCATGTTTTTACAGAAGTAATTGTTTTGCATTGATATTACAGCATGAATTGATATAACAATGAGTAAAAATTCAATTTGTGTCAGTGTATTACCACAAATTCAGCATTTGTTTGTGTACAGCAACAGAAAGATTCGGACTAATATATGCTCTATACCAGAAAGTATGATAATAGCATAAGTCCATATCAGTGATCTGTAAGTCTAAATACTTTGGTGTTCCTAAATACATGTATCAGACCCATACCTTTACATTTAAAGCTATGGTTGTAAGATAATTATTGATCTGAACAGTTCATTTATTGTCTCATTTTTAAACCAGCTTTTAATCTAAATAGTTATTAGTCCGGATTTTCCACTACAACTTTCTGACTTTAATCATTATCCCAACATAATTTCTGTGTTCTGCTAGAACTTCCTTCGTAATCAGAACAAAAAGAACAACTACAACTTGGTCTGTGAGACCTTGCAGTTCTTGGACTGCATCTGTGGAAGCACCACCGGAGGCCTGGGCCTGCTGGGGCTGTACATCAACGAGGACAACGTTGCCCTCATCAACCAAACCCTGGAGAGCCTGACGGAGTATTGCCAAGGCCCCTGTCATGAAAACCAGGTAAGGGAAATGCAAAAAAAAAACCCTGCTCACTGCACTATCCCACATTCATTTATGTTTTGTCTTTAATTCCCCCAGAATTGTATAGCAACTCATGAATCCAATGGTATTGACATCATTATTGCACTGATTCTGAATGACATCAACCCGCTTGGAAAGAAACGGATGGATCTGGTGTTAGAACTCAAGGTGAGGCTGGAAATCTTAAGTTTTGTTGCTTTGTTATTGCTATTAGCCGTTATTGATTATTTCTACCCTTGTGAGAATGCTTCTATACCTTTGTGCATTTTCTCACTAAGCATCTCTTTAATTTTCCTCCCAGAACAACGCCTCCAAGTTGCTGCTCGCCATCATGGAGAGCCGACATGACAGTGAGAACGCAGAGAGGATCCTGTACAACATGAAGCCGAAAGAGCTGGTGGGAAACTCAACTTGTTTCTTCTGCTTTGATACTATAACTGCGTTTTTGTTCATGTTACAGCCTCAAACTTCTTGATTTGTTGGTTTTTTTGTGTGATGGACCGATACAAGCTAGTGCCTAGATGTAAATTGGAAGGAAAATATTAAATTTGGGGTTTTAATTTGCCAAAACTTGTAAAGGCTGTGGATAGTTTTCCAATACATTCATATATGTCTTTGCAGGTGGAGGTAATAAAGAAGGCCTATCTTCAGGGTGAGGTAGAGTTTATGGACATAAATGAGGAAGAGGATATTGGAAATGAAGAGGAACATGATGCTGCTTCACCTCGAAACGTTGGACACAACATTTATATTCTGGCTCACCAGGTTGGATGTTTATATTTGCAATATCTTAATTAAATCATGATGTTTTTGGCTTTCATACAATATATGAGAAAACATAGATACTTCCTTCTGCTCCTTTCGTGAAAAAAAATCACTCTTGTTGGCTACTTTGCAGTTGGCACGCCATAATAAAGAACTTTCCATGATGTTAAAACCTGGAGGTGGCAGCGGAGATGGAGACGAGGCCTTAGAGTTTTACGCCAAGCATACTGCTCAGATAGAGGTCAGACACACTTAACCCTAAAGCTAAATGTTGCACAGGGGTTTGAGTCCCTCTGAGGTGACTGTTTGAGCCTCTATGTTTTAGATTGTGCGTCAGGATCGCACCATGGAGGAGATAGTGTTCCCCGTACCCAACATCTGTGAGTTCCTGACCTCGGAGTCGAAGCTGCGGGTCTACTACACAACTGAGAGAGACGAGCAGGGCAGCAAGATTAATGACTTCTTCTTGCGAGCAGAAGATCTTTTTAATGAGATGAACTGGCAGAAGAAGCTGAGAGGTAGGGTGAAGAATATCCCACAATATATTTAAAAAATCTTGAAGAAAATAATGTAAAAGTAGGAATATAAAAGAGGTATCTCACAGTAGCACTAATGGGATCAAACTTTGGTTGAACATGCTTTTAATACATTTCTTTCCTGAAAGAAACCCACAAGATCAAAAACCCTAAAAAGTTATGACAGGACCTGCAGCAAGCTGCCGCTAATGCTGATATGGAAGAGCTTTTTCAATCACAAAACACATTTAACTTTTATGGAGAGTCAAAGTAGAACAGCTTTTCTGTCTAAGAAAGCATGAAGGCCAGACTAAGGTTTGCCACAGATATAGTAGAGAAAGACCAGGACTTCTGGAGCAATGTTCTTGGGCCAGATGAGTCTAAAATTAAATGTTTGGTATTTCCTAATTACATCACTCAAGTGAAATAACTTTATGTGAATCGTACAAATAGTAGAAGTGTCATGGTTGGTTGATGCTTGGCTGCAGCAGGACCAGGTCAGCTCATTATCATATCATCCACCAGGAACTCTAAAATGTATCAGGGGGTACTTGAAGAAAATATGACACTTCCTGGAAAAAAATAAAATAAAATAAAGAAGGAATTCCCTTTATAACACGATTGTGACCCAAAACCTACCAGAAAATTCACCAAAGACTGGCTGCCAAATCACTGAAACTTAGTCAAATCCCAGGAAATGCATTTTATCTTTAGTTTTCTGACTGATACAATATTTAATTCTTAGCTTTTAAGTGCAATTGAAATGCTTTTTTTTTCACAGATTTGCAAAATTGCAAAATTTTGGATTAGACATCAATATGTGAACATTTACTAAGGGTTAGTTGAAGTGTCAGGTGAATTGCTGCATGTGTGCATTATTTCTGAACTAATAGATGACAGAAGGCAAGACTGGGCAGGATAAGTGGACAGCTGTGCAGAGGCACCAATGTGCAGGGACAACTGTTGGCCTCCTTTATATGTCCGTGGTACAAGTGCATGTTTCCGCTATGTAAAAGCAGACAGGGGCTTTCCAAACTCATTTGAGCCGTGAAGCGTTCTGTACTGTAACCTTATGAATCACAAGTGAGAGTGTGCGTGATCGTGTGCGCACACACACACACACTCAGATCCACACCCACTCCCTGTGACAAGTCTAATCCACATACAAGACTCCCGTGCCCACGCACAAACTTTATTTAGTCTTTCACTCAGAGGAGGGGATGGACGTTGAAAAGTCCCTGCATCTGTTTCTGTTTTCCTATAAAAGCTAAGTTCACAAAGTCTGAAAAGGCAGGCTGTAGGTTGGAGGAGAAAGGTCAAGAAAGACAGGATTTCAATAACCTGCTCCTTAACTTGACCTTTATACCTGAGTTCAAAGTTGCTTAAATTTGTTTTTTTATTTTCTCACATTTTCTTAGTTTTCTCCTGTTCAGATGTCCAAACTTAATTCACTTATATTCCATCTCTAAATCAAACAAAGTATATTATAAATTATGAAAATCAGTACATATAGATTTTTTTCAGCATTTAAATGAACTAAAAATTCAATTCAATTTGACTGACTGTATTTCCTCTCCTCCCCAGCCAAGCCAGTGCTGTACTGGTGCTCCAGAAACATGTCAGTGTGGAGCAACATCGCCTTTAAACTGGCCTTGCTCATGAACCTGCTGGTCTGCTTCTTCTACCCCCTGGAGGGGGTACATGGAGGTCAGTCATGCTCACCTAACCGTCAGGAGGTTAAGTGTAACTGTGAAATATTTCATTTCAAATAAATTTACATAAATTAAGAAGCAGGGAAAAGGGAAAAGGGAAGTGGAGGTCTTGATGAGGTCATACTTTCAGACTTGAGTTCCTTTTTTCTTTGTTTTTGATATTGCAATCAGACTTCTGTAGAAACCAGGTTCAGAAAAAGGCTAAAGCAGTGAGCAGAAAGAAACAGCCATACAGACCACATGAAGAGGACATGTCAAAGATGTGGGAGAGGGTGCTTTGGCTAAATGACACCTCGACTAACTGAACTCTAACCTTTACAGAAGAATTGCAAAATGAACGCCTTTGTTGAAAGAAAGCCGTTATAAGTTCTGTTTGTGCTTCGCCTCAAGCCACTTCGGGGACCGAGCAAGCATGCGGAGGAAGGTTCACTGGTCAGGTGGTACCAGAACAGAACCTTTTGCACTACATTTACAACACTATTTGTGGCAGAAAACACATTCTGAACACCAAATAATCGATTCATGCTGTTGCGATGTTTCTCTTCACAATTGTCAGAAAAGTTAGTTGGGGTTAATTGGATGCTAAATTCAACAATCTCAAAGGAAAAATAAACATTTGTCAAAATGTCCTAGTTAAAGTCAAGGCCTCAGTCTGTTTCAGAATGTGACAAAACTTGAAAGTTGATGTTCATGATGCCTCCTTTCCAAACAAAGAATGTTATTTTCAGTCTGACAGTAGACGTGCAAAGCTGGTCAAGATGTATCTTAAAACAATTGCCCCTCTGTATGCAGACCACACTTCACAGATAGACTTTCATATAAAATCCTCATAAAAGACCTTAAAGTTAGTCACTGTAGCATTGCTGCTTCATGCCCATTTTTTAAACTCAACAGCAGCCGTAAAGTCAACTAATTCAATCAGAAACTGCAAGAAAGTTTTCTTACATTGATACCTTTTCAAACCATGCATTGTTTCCACCCAAAAAAACCGGCTTTTTTCAGCAGTGACCTACTGATCTCTTTTCTTCACCACATTCAGATCTACTGACGTCTAATCACCTGATCAGGATTAGGAGTGGGAGTCTCCTGGTTTAAGACACACCCACAGCTTTCATTGCTTCCCGTCATATTTGCCCTCCAGTGCTATGGAAACAACAATAAACATGGCACAGCTGGCATTTTTACTATAAACAGAATATAAAGTAGCTCAAGATTTTCATACAGGTCAGACATATGATAATCTGAAAAGTATTTCATCATGTAAATATCTTTGACCACATTGAAACCTCCAAGTGAAACTTCTGTAGTGTGTAAACCTTTTTAAATCATGTCAGTTGAAAAATAAAATTGGTAAATGACTAATGTATAGTGTCCTGCAAAATTATCTGTACCATTTGAAATTAGTTTTCCCATTTTCTCACCTTCCGACTCCAATCTTCAAAGCGTATACTGGGTATTTATCACCAAGACAAACTCAAAGCAATGTGTAATTTTTAACCAGAACGGAAATTAATCATGGTTTCAAAATGTAAAAAAGGGAATTTAAGGTCTAACACAATTTATCATCTTTTGTTAATTTTTCCATTTGTTTTCATTTTAATTTAATCATAAATAGTGCCAGAAATCCAGAAACCCCTTCAATAAATGTGGCTAAATTCATTTTCAAAAACAAAAAGAGTAACCCACTATTGCCATTGTTGAGAACCGTCTAAATAAGATAACATTCAGATCAAAAAGCATGAAAAAATGCAAACCTACCTTTTAGTAGGACAAACCTGAAGAAACGTTTTTATGATTTTAATCTACAAAAACCACAAAAGTGGGACAAGGGTGGGTGGATGGATGGATGGATGGATGGATGGATGGATGGATGGATGGATGGATGGATGGATGGATGGATGGATGGATGGATGGATGGATGGATGGATGGATGGATGGATGGATGGATGGATGGTGGATGGGTGGATGGATGGATGGATGGATGGATGGATGGATGGATGGATGGATGGATGGATGGATGGATGGATGGATGGATGGATGGATGGATGGATGGATGAGACCTCTATCATAAAAATCCAGTGAAATAAATGAATAACTTAATTGTTGTGTTGTTGAAAAAAATGCATGGAGTATGACTGTTTTTGTATTTTTGAATAACATGGTTGAAAATAAAAAGTGCTACAGTCTGTAGTAAAAACTCAGCAGCCATGATAACTTGTCTGTTTCCATATACAAAAGTATTGTTACACAACACAAATAATGCCCGACTGGGTCTCTATGCCCTCTGGAGCTCGGTCTGTGTGCGTGACATCACGTGAGACTCCTGCATACCTTTGAGCTGCTGAAACAGGCACTTTTTATGGCTTCTGACCCGGGTCTACTCTTTTGCTCTCACAGACTTTGAAAAAACATGCACTCTGTGCTCTCGCATTCCCCCATTACTTAGGGCTTTAGAATGGAGGTTATAAGAGCAAGAGATCTAGGTCAGTGTGTTCAGCCTGCACGCATGACTAACCGGCTTTTGATGAGCAAGTTGGCTTGGCATGCCACACTCTTAGCACACGCGAGCTTTCGAACTGTGCAGCTATGCAGTTGTCCTGCAGATATTTGCATGCAGTCATAAGGGAGTTTGACGGCGCACGTAAGCGCGCCTCTTTCTGTCTCCGACATCACAGGAGCTGCGTGCTGCTCCCCGCTCATTCCTCATGAATCTTTCAGCTGAGGTATTTTTAGAGGCTGTTATGTAAGTGGCACCTGTCATGTGATCTCCACTGGGATTGGAAAGGAGAGAAAACCAGAGACGGGGAAGGACAGAATGAGGGGGGCAAGTGAAGGAAAAAAACAAACTGACCGCAGCAGTCTCTCGCTCCCTGTCTGTCTCATTCTCCTCGAAGTTTTCTCCTTCTTTGCTTGTTTCTGGTTTTAATCTCGATTGTGACCAAGCATGCAGTAGAGTAATCTTTTAGGAAATGCTAAAGTGTGGCCTCGGCTTTTAAGCAAATCAAACCTGGTAGAAGATTTTAACTTGATGGGCACATTCCCAAATGAAAGCCATGTTTTAGGCTCTAATCCTGGATTTAGTTAAGGATCAGTGGGAGCATCGGATTGGCTCCCTCTAAAGATTTGTGTGAACACGTACACACTCAGGCCCAACAAAACTGTGTCATACACCTTCTAGTGTTATGTAACTTACTCATTTTGAAATCAAATACTTTCTAATGCAGGAGAGGTTTAAGGTACTGAACTAAAACTCAGATTCTGGGTAATAATGTTCAATTATTTCTAGGCCTTAACTGGACTAACACAGTGAGAAACTTAAGCAATTTTAAAAAAAAGAAAATCAAGATTTTGCACACGTTGGAAATAAAAATTATACATGCAGACTCAAAAATATATTGTACATGCACCCTCACTAAACACAGTAATATTTGGCATGTTTTGCGGCTTTCAACAAGCTTCTGCAATCATTCTGCCTGGATATTTCACACCACTTTGTAAGAGCAGCTCATTTAAATTTGCTGGTGTCCAGGTACGGACACAACTTCCAGGGATAGTCCATGAAGTTCTGATATGTTTTTGGAACACCTAATTAATTAATTAGCCCTTTGTCTTGACTTGAATTGTCAAACATTAAATCATTTGTTACCAAGACTATAAAAGAAAAATGGCTTGGATATGGAAACAATCCAGAAACCACCAAAGATCAAAGCTGTCAAAACTGAAAGATGGTGGAAAACAGACTTCACTGTCCAGAACCTGGACTTCCAGGCGACCTACCAAGAAGGAATCCCTTGCTTCAAAAGTGACTCATTAAAAGATGAAGATGTTTGACTCCCAAAGACAAGAATGCTTGGAGATGTGAAAATAAAGCTTACTAGCTGCTGCTAGTACTGCTATGTTCCACCCAATAGATGGAGGAAAAAAAGAGGACAACCTTCAGATTCCGGTTGCCAGAAGGTTTAAACTTGGACTCAACTGGATGTTCAAACAGGAAAGTAAACCCAGATGTATCTAAGCTGACTTTGACCTCGACCTCAACCCTTTTAAAACTTTATAAAATTTGCTGACAACCTTGGTTTGTAGTTGGAAATGAGATTTAAATGAAGTTCACAGATTTTGCCAGGAAGAGGCATCAACTATAAAATATAAGATTTTTTTCTCTTCAAGCGACTCCTTTTCATTCAAAACTTTTGCTTATGACATGTTCATTTTAAACTGCATAAATAAAGAACTATGCAACCTGGGAATTTAATTAATGAGTGATATTTGTATATATTTGAGAGCTTGTGAACATTTATAAAGCCGTAATCTCATAACTTGTAACCCGAAAAAGTTGTTGAACCCTCAATCTACAATGAAAATGATGATGAACAACGTTCAGCCTGATGATGAGTCCAGGCAAAATATAGGGATCGTTTGCTAGATTCTTTAAAATCAAATTTTTTTGGTAGATCTGATTGGGTTCTGTCTGGCCATTTCCCAGTTAATTGCCTTATCTGTGTGTGTGTGTGTGTGTGTGTGTGTGTTCTGCAGGAATCTTGGAGCCCCATCTGTCTGCACTGCTGTGGATGGGATTCTTTGCAGCACTGGTCCTTGTTTTGCTCATGCCGAAGCCTCTGGGTATCTTAGCCCTGGTTGCTGTCACAATCCTCCGTCTTATCTTCTCTGTGGGCCTGGAGCCTACGCTCTTCCTGTTGGGTGCTTTCAATGTGAGTTGCCTTAAAACCTTGTGCTGCTGTTTAGTCTACTGACTTCTGTTTATATTTGAATGTTTCATAATTGTTATTTTTTGTAGATTTGTGTTATTATTCAGGCACAAACAGAGGAAAAATACATTTTGGTTCTTAAACAAATTTTTCTGTAACTGCATTTGAGGAAAATTGCTTGGTGGGATAAGTGCTATGCAAAAGTATTCATATCCTTTGTTGTTTCATAATGTTGTCATGCAAGGACCACAAACATCAACATAATTTATTGAGATTTCATATGATAGAGCAACCAAAATTAGTGGGTAAGTGTAATTTTGTACATGGTTTTCAGACTTTTTACAAAGGTTATCTTAAAAGCTTGGAGTTCTGAGTATTTACTCACTTGTGGAATCACTTTTTGAGTGTGTCTTTGTTTGCCTGCTATTATCACATAGATATGTTTTTCCCATCCTTCTTTTTGAAAACGCTCAGACTCACTGGATGACTTGCATCCATAAACAGCAGCTTCCCAGTCTCACCACAGATTCCCATTGGGATTTTGCTCTGCAGTTTGACTGGGCCATTCAAACACACCCAGTCCATAGTGACGCTGACTGCATGTCTACAGTCATTTTCTTCCAATTAACCTTGACAACCTTCCTTGACCCTTATGACGAAAAGCATCCCTAAAACATGATGCTATGTTTCAATAAGAGATGGCGTGTTCAGATGAATATGGGAAGTTGGCCTCAATACATGGTCTTAAATGCATCTTAAATGGTTTTGTTTATTCAAAATTGTTCTTGCACATGATTGCTTTGTTCCCTACATGGTTTGTGGAAAATTGAACTTCTTATTGAAGTCTTTCAGTTATGGCTTTCTTCTTGCAGTTCTTCCACCAAAGAAGAAGTTTACAGTAGACAACCAATATTGGTTCAACTGACAGAGTCAGCTGTGGTTTTCTGCAGCTCATCCAAAGTTACCAGAGGCCCCTTAGCCTCTGGTTAACACTCTCTATGCCCTATCTGTCAGTTTATGTGCACGGCCATTTTTGTGGCTGGTTTCACAGAACTCTGCACATGACTGAATACTGTTGATCGAAACTATTTAAGATTCTTCATCTTGATGCTTTCTGTGAGAAAATGTCTCCGTGTGGTTTAAAATTAATTTTCCCCAGAGAAATGGAATTGAAGTCACCAGTGTATGCACTTTCAAGTGCTGAGAAACCTCCTCCCAGCTAGTTCCACTTCTTCTTTCCCCTCCCATGCTAACGGTCGTTTGGCAGGCCCGAACTACACATGCCCCTCTCATTGCCCCTCCTGCCCGTCCAGCTCCTCCTGCCAGTGCTGTGTTGCCTGGTGTAAGACGCCAAGCTGGACCTCAGAAATGACACTACAGTTTTGCTAGTACTTTTTTTAAATGCTCCTAAAAGCACCTAATGCTCTAAAATTAAAAATAAAAATTCATTGACTTTCTTTTGGGTGCTTTTGTTGACATGTACAAACAAATGCAGGTTATGAGATTTAAAAAAAAGGGTCAAACAAGAAACCAGAGATGTTGCCATGTGCTGCAGTAACCTGGTAACTCTGAAATCTAGTTTATATGCAGGTGGTCAGATTTCTCCCTTGTTTGGCTGTTTGTTTATAATTTTCTGTCTTACAAATTCAGAACTCTTGAATTAGACCCAAAGATTTATATCCAAACTTAAGCATTTACATATTTGTTTAGATCTTCCTTTTACTTTTGATCAAAATCCTAATTTTCCAGGATGTCAAAACCCAACCTACCCACACACACCACCACGCCACCGAGAAAGAAAGTGGGTTAAATTATATACAGACATATGACGAAGAAGTGAGGTTTCTCAAGCAGGACCCATTCAAGATGTATTAACCGGGTTTTTGTTAATCCCTTAATCTACACAGATAACCAAGCTTCTTAAATGGAATAAATTTAATAGTGTGCCTTCACTTAGTTCAAAATTCACCATCACTGATGTCAGCATGTTTTTTCTATGGTAGAGCCCCTATTAATAGGATGCCACCCTCAGAAGTATTAATGATTTATCATCCCTCATTGGCATTAACAATAACCAAACATTACCTTTTTTGTTCTAGGTTTGTAATAAAATTATCTTCCTGATAAGCTTTGTTGGAAACCGAGGGACTTTCACACGAGGATACAAAGCCATGGTGATGGACTTCGAGTTCCTCTATCATCTCCTCTACCTCATCATCTGCTGCCTGGGAGTGTTTGGTCATGTCTTCTTCTACAGCCTGCTGGTAAGACAGAAGCAGGCTTTGGGTTAAATCGATTGGTAAAATTCATTTTGAAATGGAAATTAAATCCTTTTAGTCTAGGCGAATTTGGTCCAAATCAAAAAGTTGCTTTATCTGTGCCATTGTTTGCATTTTTGCCTCAAAACATGTTACGAACAACAAGGAAAGTTATTTGGAAACTATTGGAGCCGGACCCATCACTTTTATAAACTACGATTGTTTGAAAACTACAATCAGCATTTCTGTTAAGAAGCTGGGATTATGTATTTTGTAGGAACATAGTGCCATTTTATAGCACAGTGAAGTAACATTATTATATTCTGTTGTTTAAAAATGTTGCATATATCAAACATAACTTGAAATAATTTTTACTTTCCAATTTAACGCCTTAAAATTGGCTTGTGTCTCTTTAAGAGGCTTGCCTTAAGTATGCCATTACAACAATGGTACTCCATGATGCCGTTTACAACCGTTCTTAGAAGCGCTGAACTGATAAGTAGTTCATAAGACAGAGTCAGCAGATGTGCAGTTTCACCAGGTGTTTTCTAATCACCGCTGCTCCTAGTCTAGAGGAGCTGAGTGAGAGAGTTGCTCTGTAAGGCGGAAGCTGAGCTTGGAGACTGCAGCTCCAAGGAGGAGCTTTGTGGAAAAAGGTGGTTCTTTGTGGGAGAAAGTGCTTAGGCACCCACAAATTGCTGCCACAGGTGATTCAATTATTTTTTTTCAAATATGCAATAGAAAAATCAAAGAAACACTGCAGGCATGCTTTTGACAAAGAAATAACATTATGACATGCTATAAAGCTAAAAAAAAGTTGATTTTGCATAATTCAATTAGATAATTACATAATTAGCTGACTGCAGGTTTGCTACTCAAGCTGCCTGTGAAATTTTCATTGTTACCATGAATTGCAGAACATCAAGAAGAACATGGATCATAAAAAATGTTACGAAGCCGTAAGATTCATACTGACCAGAGCCTTTTGCGTCGTCTGAGAAAGGAAACTAAATTTAGGAAGAAAAACCAAAGCATTTTTTTCTCAAAATTTATAACTTTCTTCATTTTACAGATTCTTAATTCTGTTGCTTTGTACTGCTATTTTCCTGCAGCTTTTTGACCTGGTATACAGAGAAGAGACCCTGCTGAATGTGATCAAGAGCGTGACCCGAAACGGACGCTCCATCGTTTTGACGGCTGTTCTTGCGCTCATCCTGGTCTACCTGTTCTCCATCGTCGGCTACATCTTCTTCAAAGATGACTTCATCTTAGAGGTGGACCGTATTGCCAACACAACCCAAAGTAAGGAGACAATGGCGTCCATTTGTCACAGGTGTCCTTGTTGTTTTAGATGTCACTAAAATCTGTGCTTTGTTATGTTTTTATTTTACAGAAAGTGGAGCCAGTCTCCCTGGAGAGTATCTGAACACAGGACTGTGTCAAGGAGGCCTTAATGAGAACTGCAGCAACAATGCTCAGCAGGAAGGTAATTAATAATGTGATGCATCATATTCTTTTTTTTAGAGAGTGTTGGTTTAAAAATATACTGTTCCACCCTCAACATTCTGAATGTTTGAGGGTGGTCAAGAAGCCTATAAATTATGGTTTTTATGTCAGTTTTTGAAGTAAACTACCTGTATATCCTGAGTTCACCTTTTCAGGATGAAAAGTTGGTTTTCATTTGAGCACTTAGAAGTGAATTGGTAGATGGGTTTGGTTCGGGTTTGGTTTCATGTTCCGTGTTTTCTAAATGGGCTGTTGAATCATTTTTACAAAGAAAGGGGTAGTTGCCTGTAAAATCGGCACGTATTATGAGGAAGATACCAGAGAAGTGACTTATCAGACCACAGAAAGGAAAATAATATTGTAAGATATTTTTTTAATGTGTTTAGTTTTCCTATGTTCTTTATTTTGGCACCAAGGCACACCTGCCTGCATGTGACTCATATGAGTGCCATATGACTGCAATTTGATCCAAAGAGTTCACATGCGACTTCGTCAACCTGCATGTGACATCGATTAACTGTTGCATCCCGGAGTAAAGCAGTAAATTCCCAATAACTTTACTTCAGTCTGACTGTTTGGTGACTTTAAGACTGAAAAGAAGACTTGCAGCGAAGTTTATGAGGTCTAAAATTATTGCAAAGAAAATTGTGACATCTACTATCTATGAACTAGCCCACAGCTGAAATGTTTCTATATTTTACCTACATAAAAGACAGAAAATGTTCCCTAAAGCCAAGAAAAAATTTTGAACCCACAACTTTGAAACTGGGCATAGAAACATGTAATTTCAATGAGTCTTGTTTTAGGAGCATTAAACTGCCCTCCTTCTCTAATGTTAAGATGGCCTATATACTGCTTTGATTAAGATTTCACTGTCTCAAATTTCACCAAAACAAAAACATTGTTGCTTTGACTAATAGGCGTCACACTTGGAGCCAAAGCATGTAAACACGACTGATGAGGAATGTGGAGTTAAAATCAGGGATCCTTGTTATGAATCAGTAGAGTACACCTTCAACTTAAAGTGGGAATTTATTTCTATTTTAGGTGTAGGCCACTTCCTGCTATCAATGTCTCCCTTAAAAAGTTTACTATTGCTATTTCAAGTGCTTTTAATAAGACATCAGAGAAACTTCTTTCCATGTAAATGTAAGTTTATACGGAAAGATTTCCATGTCCATATAAATCGTTGTGATGCCGTAAAGGCATTGTGTTGCTGCGCACTGCTTGTACGCTGGCTGAAGAAAAGCTACTCCACTTTTCACTCACAAGAATGACAAGTTGTGCAGCTTGGAAATTTTTATGGTTGTGAAAAAAAAAGAGTTGTGAGGTACCAACCCATCGCTCTTATTAAGGAAAATATTTTTATGAAGTGCAATTTTAATATTCATAGATGCTGTGAAAGTATTCTCATAACCTGTAGGAAGTAATTACATTTTGCTCAATAGACCCTTAAGAACTAGTGCTAATGTTAGTTGGTGTGTCTGTTTTATGTTATGATTGTGTATAAAAAGATGAGGTTATTTGTTAGCACCATTTATACACAAGGTAATTCTTCTCAGGGGAAATACGGTTCAGAAAAAACACAATTACATTATAATACAAAATCTATCCAAAGAACAAGATTGAAAATTTATGCTCCTTAAAAAGGAGACATTAAAATGCAAATTTGACAAATAAATAGCTTAGATACGATAGAAAAAAATTACCAAAGCCTTTGCTGACTATAAGAAAGCTGTTGTAAGTGATAATGTGTTTAGACATGATTTAAACGTGATTTAAAAGGAGCCCACAGTTTCTGCACATCTCAGGCTTTGAAGGAATTTGTTCCTAAGCTGAATAGCACAGAGACTAAAGGAAACCTTCTCATGTTTAGTTTTGGTCCTGAGGACACAGAATATCTGAAGGCTTTTGGGGTTACATGATTCAAACCTGACCAGAAACCCTTAAAAATATAGCCAGAGTAAAGCACTTCCATTAAAACAGATCACAGAAATACTATGGATGACGAAATGGTGTCCCTACAGGTCCCTTAAAAAATCAACCAGCTGCAACTCGTCCCAAATGCTGCTGTCAAAGTTCTGGTCAACACCAGGAAAAAGGATCACATTTTACCAGTCCTCAACTCACTGCTTATGTTAGATTTTTATTGGTCCATAAAGAACTTCACAGCCTTAAAATGAAGTTTGACTTTGAGGTCTCACTCTATCATGACACATAGCACTGTTTGCATAATGTGCTGTTTTAACCCTCATACAGTTTAGGAATATTTTTTTGTTTCTAACTTTGCAGTCTTGGTAACAAAAACAACTCCATCTGATGCTGAGCTGCTGCAAAGTCTGACTCATCGTCTCATTTACATTATGGACACACTAACCAATTGTAATAGACTATTTTCAAGTTGTGACACAAAAGTTTAACGTATGTTGATTGTGTAGATGCTGAATAAAAGTGTCCAGGAGTCTTGAGGTACTCCTGATATTATCTTTCCAAATAGCATAAATTATTCCAAAAATTTTGAAATAAGATCTGGAGCTGCTTAGGACAACACCAGATCTTTCCCTGTCTATCAATCATTATGCCAAGCGAAACTGTGTCAGATTCAATCCTGAGTTCCACTAAATCCCAGGTAGAAGTTTTTGATGGCTCATAGTTAAGATGTATTAAAACCTCTGCAGATGGAGTCTCAGTAATTCAGCATGCTACATTAAAAATATTCTTTAAATCAAAAATGCAAGTAGATGTTAGGCAAGGTATGGACCTGTGACTACTTAGTGTTGAGGCGTCTTTAAAAGACATTTGACCACTGCAGTTTTCAGGACTGACTACATGTTCAGGCAATACTTCAGTTGCAAGATAACAAGGAACAGTTTTCTTCTAAACTTGTGGGACCTGCAACAAGTTATGAAAATTAAGCCAAGAACAGTTTCTATCAAAGACATGGTTCATTTAAAAATCATGTTGATGAACTACTTTTGACTTAAATCTAAATAAAAATACATCGTACAGACGCTCGTATTGTAACTGTAGTAATCAATATGGTTGCAATAATAGCAGAAGTGCTGTACCTTTGTTGTTAGCTTTTTAATCACAGGTGATCATACATTAGTCTTGTGCTGCTGACTCATGCCCAGACTATGCCCTATTATTACAACCTAGTTGATGATTTATGGACTGTTTTTGAATAAAGATAATATTTGCTTGATCTTGTTTTCCTTACAATGTCACCATTAAAGCTACATTTGGCCATAAAAACAACAGGAGTGCATATTTGGTGCATGTAAAAATAATAATGTCTTGCTTAAGTGAAATTAGTGAGGATTATATGCAGTCTTTTGTGCATGGCTTTTTTGTGTTACATAAAGTCCTTAACTTCCTGATTGTCCAGTTACACCAGTTCATAAAATAAGATCTAGAGCAATGTTGTCCCTATTCTGCGAAAGCTTTGATTTGCAGTTCTTGTAAAACTTTTTGCTTCACATTGGCTAAAATGTCCCGGTTCTTTTTTCCTTCCTCAGAGTTTGGGATCGACAGCGAGGATGAAAACGACATGGAGCGGACGTGCGATTCTCTACTCATGTGTATAGTTACGGTGCTGAGTCATGGCTTGAGGAGCGGAGGAGGTGTGGGAGATGTTCTCCGCAAGCCTTCTAAGGAGGTAAATTCCTGTCTGAATTGGTTCCAGGCATGTGTGTGCGTGTATGTGTCCTGGGAGGGTGTTGTATCTGCTGCTGCAGCTGCTGCAGCAGCACAGGTCATGTGAGTTGGCTCTGAGCTCATTGTGAACCGAACTTGTTTTTATTTCAAAAGCGTGGCGCTTTCACAATGTTTCCCAACAGCTGCACTGCCTCTGGCTTGTGTTAGGGAATGAAACTTTAAAATAGATTTCCACTAAATTCAACTCGAACCACAAATGACGTCAAAAAGAGGATGTGACTTGCTCCCTCACCCTTTTGCAATACACTGTTACTCAGATCAGAAATGTGAAATGTCGGCTGAGACTTTTGAAGAAAGGCACAGTTGGTCAGTGCTCTTGTTCTTCAAATTTATTGGTGAGCGTTTAATAAAGGCAGATGGAAATTTGTTGGCACCCTGGTAAAGATGTGTTAAAGTAAAATAAAAATATTCTTGCATTACAGCAGCAATTCCTAATGAAAATGTGAAAAAAATTACCTTTTAACTACATTTTCAGTGGAAGAAAACATCTTGGTGCCCCTTTCAGTTACTTAGAAATATTCTTCTGACAGACTTTTTTCTCTTATTTTAAGTTGATCAGAGTTTATAATTAGTCAATGGATTATAAGCACAACATGACAAAAAAGGCCTTTTTTTTAGCTACTGACCTGAATGAGAACCCATGTTTATCTTGCCAAGTCTCAGGAAGATGTGATGAAGACTCAATAAAACTCTGAAAGTCTCTTCAAGAACAGCATCAGAGTGGCATCTGGGGGATCGGCATGTCCCCATTAAAGCAATTTTACACCACCATGTCAAGAAAAAAAGAACATTTTCTGTTCCTTCCTTACTAATGTTTTTGTTAGTGATCATAGTTTACTATGCTTCTAGGTCTGCAATACAATCTTTTCTTTGGCAGAAAAACATTAAGATTGAGCTTTTCCAGAACTCTCCAACTGGATCTGGTTTGAAATGATGGATGAAAATGTAGAAAAACATCACAGTCCCACTCTTAGGTGGGACTCTCTCAGCTTTGTCATGTTGCGTGAACCTCTTGGTAGCACAGAAATGAGTTGCTATTAAGAACCTTCACTCGCTGAGTTCCAAAGATGTCCCGGAGATGTTATCGCAGATACTGAATTTGTGCTCATGCGGGTTTTGGAATTGGTAATGAGTAATGATCCAAAACAGATGTAAATCTTATGAACGCCCGGTGTGATGAGCTGAAGAAAATAAATCATAAGAAGACTCAATGATGTAGATTCTGAACAAAGGGAGATGGCGAAAGAAAGAAAGAATAAAAAAAAAAAAAATGTTTCCACATCTCTATTTAAAATGAGTATCTGAATTTGACCCATGTATCCAAGACTGAACACATAAGGTTCACATAAGACGGGCTGCATTATGTTAACTCTCTGGTGTCTCTGTTACGTTAGCCTCTGTTAGCACATGTTGCCCCATTTTTATCCGTGACAAGCAAGCTTAACCTCGTTTTTAACTCAAATAATTATCTCCACATGTGAATCTATGAAACATGTCTACTTTCCTCACTGAAACCACGTCAGTTCATTTTGTTTTTATATTTGTTTTCTGTTATACTGAGGATTTACACACTGCACCCTTATTTTCTTTATCCAACTTAGGAGCCACTGTTTGCAGCCAGAGTGATTTATGACCTGCTCTTCTTCTTCATGGTCATCATCATCGTCCTCAACCTCATCTTTGGTGTCATCATCGACACCTTTGCCGACTTGAGAAGTGAAAAACAGAAGAAAGAAGAAATTTTGAAAACTACCTGCTTCATCTGTGGTGAGTGTGTTAGGGTTTTTGTAGTGGGTCCGAATGGACTAAATTATTGGCAAAATCCCAATTGAATAAATCTATTGGTTGGATTTTTCCACTTTTTAAAGGGAGGTTGTGCTTCGTTCATCTTTACCGGATGTGTTGAAGTCTGGAGGAGTTCTTCTACGTCTTGACATTTACTGACTTTAGAGGAAATTCACAGCATTGTGGCTTTTTTCACAAAGTGGTGTGATTTCCTAATACAATTTTATGTTTTTAAAAAAAAAAACTGTTGTCTGCAGATAGCTCATAGCAACACTGTCTCCTCCTTGTCTTTCATGACTTGTATTTCAGGATTGGCTTCATGTAAGGACACATTATCCTCGGTTACCGATTAACTACGATGTACTGTTTACCATTAGCAATGAAATAGCCAGGGTAAGGATACAGAATTAGCTTTTAGGAAACTGATTCAAAAGTATGTGACAAGTAGTTTTTTAAATTACGTCTTCACTGCTGCTATTTGGATATTAATAATTATTTAGCATTGTTTCTTTTGGGCACATTCTCATCATAGCTCATGTATTTAAAGGGCTACGACACAGGGCCAAATGCTGAGTCTCAACTTGTCTTTATGACAATGTTCCACAGTTTCTCCCTGGAGTTTGGGTCCTGAGAGAAATAGCTTGATTTATTGGCCAATCAAGCACAATAACACCATGCTTAATAGACCAGCTTCTGGCACTTTGGCCTGTGTGAGCAGGTGCCAAGTCCTGCTAAAAATAAAACCAACATCTTAATAGTTTGTCAGCAAAAGAAAACATGAAATGCTTGATGTACCTGCTGACTTTAAACTTCACAAAACACCAGGAATTGATCACGTTTCCCCAAACCATCTCAGACTTAGGCCATATTACCTACAAGTTAAAACCACTTTAAATATATTTGCTGCAGTAGATTGAAATTTCCATGATATTTCAGGCTACGAAAAGCACTTGTGCATCATCAGTAACTTTCAAGTGCAGACTCATGTCTGAGTGATACGGCTACTTTCTGTTGTTTGAAGGGCTTTTTACTTGACTCCTTTCATTCCCATATTTCCAAGCTTGAGCACTAGATTCCAGGTTGCAGTAGTGGTTTCTGGTAAGTAGGTCTGTAGAGGTCTATGCTGAAGTCCCTCTCTTCTCCTCCTCCCTCTTTTTCACTATGCTGTCGTTCCAACGAAGGCTGAGTCATGAGAGCTTCCTGCCACCGCTCTGCTCGCCTCCATAATTCATGTCTGTTTCACACGCACACACATTCTCTCCTACACATTCAATCACATGCACACTCTTGATTCCCCTACCATATGTTTCTGCGCATTTCCACTGATTAGCCAAACTGCCTTTCTGCTATTAAACGGTTCTTCTGCATGTCCTGACATGACCAAAACATGTTTCCAAAGAGTACATGTCAGACAGCGTGTGCATCCTAACCCTAATGAGTGTGAGCGCAGTAGTACATGCAGAATGGGAGCGTGTGTGAGAGCATGCATATGTTGCGACAGGCAGTCAGAACAAGTGGTAAGCATATGGAAGGAGAACAGCATTATGTCAGCCAGCCAGCCATCGGCTGTGAGTCAGTCACGTTAAATAAGGCCAGGCCACAGGGGGAGCTGCTGTCTCTATGGTTTCCAGAAGGACCACAAGAGAACAGGAGATGCAGAGATTAGGAGCTGATCTCCGCAGGAATTAAGTCGCCTGACGTCCTCCGGCTTGGTTTTATAAGCCATTCTGTCTCTCGGTGTGTTCTATTCAGTTTGTCGATCTCATGGGGTTTGTGGTGAATGATTGAATTACTCCATGTACGTCTTGCACACACTGATCTGATTTTTTACCTGTAGACGAATTTGTCTTGTCTTTGTGCAACAGATCTAGCTCACTTCTATCTTCCGTGGAAAAAGTTAGGAAACAGGACGAGTTTCTCAATGCAGGAGATCCAAGTTATGAATTGCTAAGCGTCACACCATCCTACAATTCTCCTCTTATTTATGAGAATTACTTTGTTGGCTTAATTATTATAATGTTGATGTCTCAGCTTTCAATTAAGACATGTCTTTTTTTTTTTTACCTTTATATGTTTTTGTTTTCCTTACGATTAGAGATTCACCAATACTTGCAAAAGAATTTTCACTTTCTTTTGAGGTTTTTTTAAACATTGCAATTTGAGGATTGGTGTTTTTAACATAAAAAGTTATCCCTGCTTTTTTAAACAAGATACTGAACACATTATCTAAACGACGTGTGTAAAACTCAAATCAAATCAAAGTCAAATGTTATTTGTATTGCACATAATGTGCTTACTAGAATCTAGAGTTAAATCAGTGTTTATATATATATATATATATATTATATATATATATATATATATATATATATATATATATATATATATATATATATATATATATATATATTTGAGACAAACTGTTGTGATGACATCCTGGAAGTGGGGTATCTAGAGCTTCTTATAGAGACCAATTTTAAGGTATCCAAATTATGAAGTCAAATTTCTTTTAAATGACAACATTTTATAACATCTGACAGGAACATAGTTGCTTGATTTTGCTGTAAAAGGGCCCAATGTGTTTGAATTCTGTCCTTTTAAGAAGGACTCATTAAATCCAGAGAACACCAATATTTTAACAATTTGCTAATAAGTACTTCTATCAATACATTCTGCCAGCTGGCCCTTTGAGGATATTCATTATCTTGATGTGGCCCACAAGAAAAATGATTTTGACAACTCAATATAGAAGTTCATTAGGTAAAAACTGGTTTTAGCTGCAATTTTATTTAAATTCTGTGCACTGTCTTTTCCAACTTGTATTGGTCCGACAGAAATCACTGACCAATATATATTACTGAACATGCAATATCTAGCAAAATATACCATGATTGTCTTGTCTTACAAGTGGAGGCTAGCTTGATCCCTGTGTACAACAATTAGCTAACCTAACTGGATTGCCAACTTGCAACTGGAGCAAGGTTATAAAACTCTTATATCATTCCAAGGTTTGAGTTTCAAGGCAAAACAAATGAAGCACAGAAGTAAAAAGCCTGTCTCTTCCTCCTTCTGTCTTCTCCTTGAAAGAGGAATTTGTGATATTCCCTCAACCTGGAAAAAGACCTGATTACTTGCTGTCATCGTATCCAGGCATGACTTGGCTAAACAATAGGTGTAATCAGCCAGAGGACATACTTCTTCATACTTTAACGGGAGGATAACGACATGTGTGGCTCATAAGATGAGATGGTAGACAATATTGGGTTCATGAGAAAAAGACTAAATGAGATATGACCAATACTTTAAGGAAAGCTGACAGGCAACGCACCTGGGCAGCTAAAAAAAAAGAAAAAACAAACCTTTATTATTTTTTTATCAAATTACACTGGTATTCCCTATAGAGAAACGAACGCTCCAAGATAATAATACTGCTAAAAGAACAAAAAGTAGGGAATAAGAAGCCATCAGCAGCAGTTATTCTTGTTTGTTTCTTTTTCTCTATTTCTAAACCGCACACAACTGCCAACGCTGTGCCTTCTGCGCTGCAGGTTTGGAGCGTGACAAGTTTGACAACAAGACAGTGACGTTTGAAGAGCACATCAAAGAGGAGCACAACATGTGGCACTACCTGTACTTCATAGTGTTGGTGAAAGTGAAAGATTCCACAGAATACACAGGGCCCGAGAGCTACGTGGCAGAAATGATCAAGGTAAAAAAAAAACACCCAGAAATACCCATGCCTCCTTGCAGACGGTGGAAGCTCATTTGTTGGAAACATGCTGCACTGACTGTCTTATATAGGCACTTTGGGAAATTATTTGCTGGTTGAGTTACTTGAAAGGGTTCAAAGGAACAGTTGATTGTGTCATGTCTTTTCTTCAGAAACATATACTTGGCTAACTTTGTAAGGATTTTTTAAAAGTTATTTCAACGTTTTTTTGTGGAACTAGGGAGTTTCTCAAGTCACAGATGTTGTCAGTCGTGAATCAAAAGCTAGCCAGGTTCTGTCACGTTTTTGGCAACAGCAGTTAGGCAAAATATATTTTAGTGTTACTGATTCACACTTTCGAACATGTCCTGGCTCATGACACAAAAGCACGTTTACACCAGTGTGCTAATCTCTTCCTCTTTTCTAATCTTAACTGACATGCTGGTTTTAGCCATTCAACAATACCAGCCGACCGGTGCAGCCAAAGAGGAAGTTGGGAAATCAAGAAAACACAAGCCTGTGGTTTAACATTAAACCTAACAATGATTTATTGGTTGTACTATGATCCTAACATTTCAGCCTTTTCCCTAAACTATATAAAGTCAAGGGAAACACCCAGAGTAAAGTTACTGTTCAGGTGTTATGAATACACAATGGTCATATTCTTGGGTATCCACAGGAGCACAACCTGGACTGGTTTCCTCGGATGCGCGCCATGTCCCTGGTGAGCAGCGACTCAGAAGGGGAGCAGAATGAAATCAGGAACCTGCAGGAGAAGCTGGAGTCGACCATGAGACTAGTAGTCAACCTGTCTGGACAGCTGACAGAGCTCAAGGAGCAGGTATCTGCACTACCGAGCTACAGAGTCGCTCGTGATGCAACTCACGTGATGCAACTCTGGATTAAAGCGTCTTCCGTCTTTTGGTTCCTTCTTGGTAGAGCTGTCACCGTTGTAGGGAACCAGTACTTGCCAAAATACCACACCAATAAACAACACACAACCCTTAAAGTGGGCAAGAGACCAGTAATACAGCAGTCACTGTAAAATGGGCTTTTAGTATCACTTACAAATACAAACATGGAATTGAAATTGAACATGTAGCAGAGTAAGCACAACTGTTGACACTAAACCAGTAGTCTCTTTGTTTAGTCCACACTGTAGATCAGGGTTGGGTAACTTCAGGCCTCGAGGTTTGGTCTCCTGCAACTTTTAGATGTGTCTCTACTTCAAGTCAAATACTGAGGTCATTAGCAGGACTCTGGAGAACCTGACTGCACTTAGGAGGTGAGTCAGTGATTTAATTCAACTGTGTTGGACCAGGGAGACATTCAAGAGTTGCAGGACACCGGCCCTTAAGGACCAGGATTGCCCACCCCTGCTGTAGACGGTTACTCCCAGTTCTCAACTCCATTACTCTGGATAGCTGTTTTTAAATGAGCACTTTTCTTCATTTTTAGAAAATGTCTGCATCGACACATTCAGTTTACAATATAAACACACCAACATCTATTCCTCCCCATTGGTTTTTGATGATGTTGATGTGAAATATATCAAAAATCACTAGAAGATTTTGAACAGTTAAATCATTACTTGTTAAAGGATTCTCTGTTTTTCCCTTTTGAGAAACTCTGTAGGTAAACAGTAAAAACTGTGTTTTTCTTTATGTTTGTGTCACTGAGCTTCATTTTAAAGAGATGAAACTAGTCAGTCAACCTAATCATATTTAGCTTGGTGCTTTTTCTGATCTTTTTAAGATTAAAATAGTCCTATTCTGGTTACAAGCCCATCTTTGATGCATTTCTACTTCCTGCTCAGGGATGTTTACATTTATTTACGTTCACTAGTGCACTGGCAAAATCTTAAGAAGGCACCACTCTTTGATAATAGCCAGCATTTAATTTCTTGGTGTTTATTAGTATCACAACATTTTTCCACCAGCTGCCCTCTCAGTGAACACAGCTCAGTCTGACAGCAGCAATGCGAGGTGGCTGAGGTCATAATAGTAGAATACAGAAGTCCCTATAATTGAAATGTCACCTTTGTGCTGTTCTTCTTTTTTTTTCCCCCTTTCAGATGACAGAGCAGAGGAAGCAAAAACAACGACTGGGACTTCTGGGTCATCCCCCACATCTGAACATTAATCCCCAGCAGCCTGCCTGATTTCCCTGGAGGGGAGTCCACCTATCACCAGTGCCTCAGCACTGCCTGGCAGGGCAACGTGTCCAACTGCTTCAGGTGGATTTCTGACTTTATGATTCACCTGACCCTCATAAAATACTTGTTCTTCAGCAGACGTGCTTGTATCTATGTAAGGTGAAAGTTGTTACCCTCAGCAGCGTGTGAGTGTCTGGAGATCTGCGAAGTCAATCCTGTGAGGCAAAGAAATGAACATGTTGATCTGAGCTTTAGGACCCTGAATGTTTTGTGCCTTTTGTTCCTCCTGAAAGCCAAAGTTCAGTCACATTGTTGCTGGAGGAGATTTTCTCGTCAAGTGTCCTTTTGTCGAGGATCAAGTCTTCAGTGTTGCACCAGCGCTCAGGCCATACTTTGATTTGAAGATTTGTTTCACCACGTTATTGAATAATTGGTTTCATCTGATGGCAATAGGTTTATATGATATGCAATATGTAAACAAAGATGAATTATTTTGGAGTTACTTGAGAGCTTATTTTGTATTTAAAACATGAATACAAGACAATCACAATAGCTTACCTATACTGTGGCTTTTTTTATTATATAAACTCTTTTTTTTTCCTTTTTAATCTCAAGGTAATTTTTTATCACTTTCTGAACTCCCTGTTATCTCTAACTGAGGCCTTGCTTGGTGTTGTGCAGTTCAGATTGAAACGTTTTGTAAAGAAAAATTACTTCGACTTCTTAAAACCTGTCCATAGCTTTAACTTTAAATTATGTCTGGTGCAAACATCCATGGAGGGACGGTGAAAATCCTAACAAATATCTCTATGTTGTGATTATTAAAGGGGGCTTTATAGAAGCCAGTAAAACACAAACCTTCGTGTGTCTACACTGAATTATGTATCTCTTTTTTTTACTATTTAGTCCAAAACACTGATATTTTTGTAGCACACAACTACTTTGTAAAACATCCTCATGAAAATGCCTTCTTGAGTGTTTGAGTGTGTATGAGGTCACTTGGTGTGCGGCTTGACCAAACTAAGCTTTTCTACTAATTGACGGTTTGTGTCTGAATTGTACATTCCTGGAGTTTATTTAAATAAAGAAAGTGTGTAAAATACTCTCTGAAAAACTATGTCTGAATCAGCCTGACAAATTAAGAGAACGCCAAACTAAATGTCATGCTCAAAGGAAACTAAGGCTTGGTTGGTATTTCCCCCACAAGTTGCTTCATCGCAGTTTATTTTAATACTTCTGAGTGCATCATTAAATTTTACCCGCTGACCAGTAGACAGCGTAGGTGCCACGGTTCTCTCCAAGCCACGAAAGGCAAGAATGACTCAAGAAGACTGCAGAAAAGTAGTTTGTAAATTATATGTGCTTTGCTCTTCAAATGAGGAAGTGCATTCTTGTGTGTTAAGAAGGCATGCTTGTTTAATGATATGTACTTTTTGAGTATTTGAAATTTTAAGACTTTAGAAAATGTAAATTTATAGAATATACAGTACTTAAGTTGATTAGTCACTTTTTATTTGGATTCTTTTGGTTTAGTATATTCTAAAATATATTATACTAAACATATAATACATAAAATATATTATAGAAAATCAACTTTATTCTTAACTGGTGGCAGAAAATGAGTAAATTATTTTATTAAATAACGGGACAAATCCAATCCACTGTTTTTAGCAAGATCACTGCTAAAAATTCTGGAGAGGGTTGTTAGAGGGTTGGGCATCATATACTCTGAGAAAAGTTATAGTATATAAAAGACGAAATGTTTCTTAAATGTTGCACAGCACTAATAAAAAAAAAAACATTCTTTCTGGAGCAAATCCCCCAGCCCTCAGGCTGCCCTGTTGCTATTTCAGTCTCTGGTGCTTTTCCAGCAACACCATCAGTCGGACGTCCGACGAGTTCTCACAGTGGGGTGGGTTTTTTGAAAGTTTTAAAGGGAAATAAATATTTTCACCATCTTAATACTAAAGTAGAGCTTTTATTAAAACTGGGATACATATGTTTGATCACAAAAAATGTAGAAGAGGAGTCACAGAAAGCAAAAGTTTGGAATTGTGCAGTTTGAAAGGTTTTTTTTGGGGGGGGGGGGGGGTTCACTTTTGCTTGTGTCAGATTAAAAACATGGATTTTAAGGCCACCTCTGGTGACTTGATGGACAATTAGACTCTGGTTTGGCTCGTGGGTCTGTGCACCTTTAAGATGAAGTTTTCTGAAATTTTACAGCAGTGCATTTCAAAATCTAGCCCTTTTAGTATGAGCATTGATGCATGACATTCACAAGCCAGTGTGATGAGTTACATTTTTTGTCATACGTGATAAGTGAGTTGCACTCAAACAAAGATTTCGATTGCTGTTTTATGACATTTAAGTTCAAAGCTAAACTCAAGGGCTCTTCACAGTTTTTCAAAAATGAGATAATCTTTAGCCATATCTAGACTGGTCAAACTGGATTATGCTCTGCTGATTGCAGATTTTTTTTTAAACACCTTGAGACTCGAAATCCTCACGTAACAAGGATTTGCAAAGCCTTTTAGAAATAACTGCCATCTTAAAAATGAGGTGAAAAATTTATGTAAATGGAGATTCCTTCATGCAAAATAAATAAGTAAATAATGCATTGCAATTTATTGATTGGACATGGAAAGCTATCATCTGGCTGCCTTGATGCAAAAACACCTAAATTACAAGATAAGGACTTGTGATTTTTTTTTTTAACAATTCTATACTTAGATGTAGATGAGGCAGCTTGGGTGGCTGCCACCTATAATAATATGAAAATTCAAATGAGCCTTTTTTAAATATGATTGGAGCCTCAAAGAGTTAGAATAATATTGATCTTTGTAGGTCTATGTGACACAATATTTTCTAGAAGGGAAACACAAGCGAGGCATCTTTGAAGTAAGAAACCGAAGGTTTTGAAACATAAAAAAAAATAAACGACTAGAGGAACGGATTGGTTTGGGGGATGTAATTATCCAGGGAAAGCAGCAGGCAGGTGCAGCTACCGTGTGCAGGATAAGCTGGATGGGCAGGGTCATTGGGCTCCTGGGCCATGAGGAGATCAACGTGACAGTCTGCACCGCCTCACACGGACCACACGCAGCAGTCCATGCACAGGTCCACGTGGATCCTCCCCGCCCTTATTCGAGCTGTGCAGTTTCAAGGAATTATTATTGTCATTGCAAATTATTGCATTGATTGTGCTACAAGGCCTCCTAAACAGTCGACTATTTCCCAGTGATTATCTTTCCCAATCATGCATTGTGCAACAATCCTGGAGAACAGCTCCGCTGACAGTCTTTTATTTGTTGTAGGCTACATGTTTCTTGGCGGTGGGTAACCTATTCGCTCACGCAAAAAAAAAAAAAACTCCCGCTGAATTCTCCGCCATCACCGCCCTGCCCTCTTTTGCTGCGCAGCCTTGTTTCCATACACTTTCAGCATGGTGGTACACGGGATCCGCGGCGCGCCGCCTCCCACTCTGACGTCCGCGGCGCCCGGGCCACTCGGGCGCCTCGCCCGGGAAAGGTGGGCCGTCCTCCCCGCCGAGGATACAGCGCCGCTTAACACGTGAGCCTCATGTGACAGAGGTAGGTCAGACCGAGCGGAGAGTCAGAGGGTTTATCTAACTCGTCGCTCCGTCCTCCCCCACTTTCCCGACGCGCCACTAGGAGAGGGTGGACTTCCTCCTGCGGCGGGACCACAGCGTGGAATTTACATGGACTTAACCTGAACGCACCTGAGATAGCGCTTACAATAAGAGCTGCTCTGAAAATGACACGTTCTTAAACGTTTTCTGAGACTTTTTTTTCTTTTGATGCGCCTCAGCGTACTTCACTGCGCTCGTAAATAAATGCGCGTTCGCCCGTGGCTGAATTGGTGATATAATTACATATACAAGTATTTGGACCAGAGCAAAGAATGGAGCGAGTCCCAAGCGAGCAGCCGCCTCCTCTCTCAAAACACCAGCCCGATCTGTCAGACGTGCAGGGGTAAGTTACACTTCTTCCTAAACCGAGACGCCTTCACCCTTGAACTGGTCCCAGATTCCTTACGGGTTCGCTCTATTTGTTTTTTTTTTTAGGATGGATTTCCAAATGTATGTTTATAAGCCCAGAAGAGGGATAAAAAGAGGAGAAGAGAGCAAGGTTTGTGTTGTTTTTTTTTTCTATCTATTGACTTCATTACTTGTTGCAAACTTGTTACGACCCGACCGCAGTGCTTGTTTCACGTAATCCACAAGGAAGGAATTAGAGTAGCAGCAGTTCCCATAAATGGTTGACCCAATTTCTGCTGTGACATAACTCCTGGATTCTTCCCTATGGGTGTAACTCCCCTGCAAACACAAAGGATTTACACAACGCCTGTGTTTATTTCTCGCAGGACACCTACAAGCTGCCCCACAGACTCATCGAGAAGAAAAGGCGCGACCGGATAAACGAATGCATCGCTCAGCTGAAAGATTTATTGCCGGAGCATCTGAAACTCACCGTAAGTTCACGCTGAAGTGGCTTCACCGGAGAATGGGACGCACCGATGTTGAGTAGAGTGCACCATCTAGTGGTTGTTCGGCTGTACTACGCCCGTGCGTCAGCAGCGCGCACAAAATTGGCTGCTGCCCTGTTATGCTCTGTCCTATCCTAACATGTTGCCAGTGTGCTATAAAACAAAATTCAGTAAATGACCTGAGAATCTCCTCAGCCTCATGGCTGAATTGCTTTGAAAGTTGGAGAGCAGAAGAAGCCTCATGGGCAAGAGTTGTGCAGCTTCGCCTCTGTTTTGAGTAAGCGGTTAAGATGTGCTGACTTTGCGTGTCTTCCACAGACTCTGGGCCATCTGGAGAAGGCTGTGGTTTTAGAGCTCACGCTCAAACATGTGAAAGCCCTCACCTCTCTTCTGGAGCAGCAGCAGCAGAAGATCCTTTCTCTGCAGAGTGGCATGCAAATCGGTGAGCGACAGACATTTGCATACATGCAGAAGATAATATGTCAAGCAAATGTATAAAGGTGGCATTGTGCAGACATTATGACAATTTACCATTCCCAACTGAACAAAAATTACAGATTCTTGCAGATTTGCTCACCTGGGTTTTCTTGAATTACATTTTGTTACAGAACAACCCACAGTCAGCCAGGAGAAGTCAGAAGAGATGTTTCGCTCTGGTTTCCATATGTGTGCCAAGGAGATTCTCCAGTATCTAGCCAATCATGAGGCTGATGGAGACCTGACTCCAACTCATCTCATCGGCCATCTTCACAAACTGGCTGCTGAAGTGCTGCAGAGCCCTGCTAGGCCTCGCACCCCTCACAGCCCCCAACCCGAAGAGGCTCCAGCCTACCACCAGCGCCAGCCTCACAAGGAGATGGCCACCACCTTGCCCCCTAAGCCCACTGAGGGCTATGGGAGGAACTGCGTGCCAGTTATCCAGCGGGCATACGCATCAGTGAGTGGCGAGCAGAGTGGAAGTGACACAGACACAGACAGTGGCTATGGGGGGGAGCTGGAGAAGCCTGAAGTGGGGGCACTGCAGGGACGCTCTGATTATTATGGTCATGACTGCCAGCAAAAGCGACCGCTGGGAGACAGGCAGAGCTCTGCCATCAAGCAGGAGGACGATGAGCCGCGCCACAAGCGACTCCGTGTTGAGTCTTCTGAGGATGAGGTGCTCTCAAGTGGAGAGTCGTCGATTTCATCATCCTCCAGTGGTTATGGTAGTTACATGAGCACGTCCCCCACCCACGCACCTCCCCCTCCTCATCCTCTCTGCATGCCGTTCTACCTCATCCCCCCTTCAGCTGCGGCCTACCTACCAATGCTGGAGAAATGCTGGTATCCTGGAGCAGTGCCTATGCTCTACCCGGGCATGGGAGGCTCCTCACCCACCATGTCTGGCGACAGACCACCACCTCCGCATGTGTTGTCTCCCAGAGGAGGCTCTCCTGCCCCAGCCCTGTCTCAGACCCCCATGGACTCCCCTGCTCTCCTTCAGGCACTAAAGCAGGTACCACCCCTCAACCTGGAAACCAAAGAATGAGGAATGAAGGAACAGGCGAAGGGACAATGCCTTTTTTAATGGCCACTGTCAACAAGTGGACAACATGA